AAAATCATATTGGATAGGTATGGAATACAACAGGCTGGGAAATAATCTGGATTTGGAGGGCTAAAAATGAAATATAGACGCAGCAGCATAACCAATCGACTATCAACATCAATAACTTCCAGCATTGACTGTCATAAATGACGAAAAAAGTATGCTATAGTGATGAGAAGCTTCCTAAGAATGATTTCCTGGTGGACCAAAGTTGTAGCATTTTGACGGAAAAAGTGCTTGCAACTTTGACCACCACCCATAAAAAATGACCATAAAAAGAAAATGGGGGTTTTCTTCCTCTAAGCCTTTGGAGAACTCATGTACTTACTGTCTAGATAGCCAGTGTCGCTCCAGTTCTTACCAGTTCCGCTCCTTACATCATCCTAGCAACTTCTGTTTTTTGCGCCAAAATCAAGGCTTTTATTATAAAAATTCTGCTGCTGTCAAGGTCACATAACAAAAGCAGGTCTGTTCACACATAGTTAGGGCACATATTGGGCTAAATTGCCTGCATGAAAAAATGTCCCAAATATTACTTTTTTAAAAAATCAGCAAAGTATCTTTTCCATGGTGGACCAAAGTTGCACCGATGGACCAAAGTTGCTCTGGTTTACGGTTTTCAGTGTTCCATTTTTCAGACTTTTTGGTGGCAAATCACACCTAATGGGGAAAATATTTTCATCCATAAAATATGAATGACCGACTTAACTTCATCTCTGAAAAGACTTTCATGTATTCCCAACAGCCAGTTAACATGTTACTTGACAGTTGATGCACCCACATCCTTTTGTTCCACACCCTGTCAAGATCCTGCAATGAAATCCTGGTTTCTCAGTTGGCATAAACATTGGCATTACACCATTTTGCAAAAATATTTCAGTTATTTACTTTCTTTTTTCTCATCCTAGAATTTTTTTCTTCATCGGCACACCCAACCAATATCCAATTTTAGAACACTGACAGTTTTTGCACTTTGTTTTTGGCTAAAGAGAGCAGTGCTGGCTTGAGACGGCACCAGTGATACCATGTCATAACTTTATGGCGAGGTGTTCTCCAGTTGCTCCTATTGAATGCGCACCAATGACCACTGCAGTCCAGGACAGGTGTCCTTAACCTCTAAAACATCATCAACACAACCCCCAAATCACCTTGAACAGGGCAACCTCGGCTGATTGTGTGCATGCTATAGCTAATTGCGTTTTTTTTAGATTTCCATGTAACTGTTAAGCATGCACTGAACATTCACCCTCAAGACAGATCAACATTGATTAATTCTGCACCATTAACACAGATCATATCAATGCTGGTAAGATTTAGTCGAGATACTGTCACGACGCGGTGTGATTTATTTGTGCGCGGATTCACGTGTACCTCTCGCCGACAGGCCGCCGGTATCCCCAAGAGGCTGGCGCCGACCATTGGCATCACGGTGGACCACCGACGCCGCAACAAGTCGGTCGAGGCCATGCAGGGCAACGTGCGCCGGCTCAAGGAGTACAAGAGCAAGCTGATCCTCTTCCCCAAGACGGCCAACAAGCCCAAGAAGGGAGACAGCTCGGTGAGTGGCGAGTACGCGCAGTATCATACTGCTGCAATTGAGGTGCTAGGCGTTTTTATCACATCAAGATAGTTTCCTTTCCTTTGGCTAACATAACAGCCTTGCTTTATTGCTGGTATATATGCTTCCGCGTTATTCGTTTTCTTTATTTGCCCTTGAGTCGGTATGTTTCCGTTTGTTTCTCTGTCGTCTTATCCTACTTATTACCTAGTAGATTTGCAATCGACGTAGTTAATTCGAGATCGTTTGATGCCCTTGTTCTTGACAATTAGCCGTTTTAAAAGCAGTTTTGAATGCGTTGCTTTCCTCGTGCTGTTTGCATAATGGTGGCATACGTGCTGGCCACCGGCCATATGCACACGTGCAACTTTATGGCCGAGTGCCAATTATGGATCTCTGCAGGATTATAATCAGACGCCAAAATTTATCTTGGCTGCTACAATCACAATGTTTGGGCATTCGTCATCAAGGTTTAAGTGCACGTCCGATGCTTGCCGTCTGAATTGGTGCAAGATGAACTCAGTAGTCGGTTCACCCAAAGTACAGTCAAACACATGTCATCTGACTCTGTTGCGCGTCTTGTCTGCAGGAGGAGGAGCTGAAGCTGGCCAGTCAGCTGAAGGGCAAGCTGATGCCGGTGCCGTCGCGGCGCTCCGGCAAGCTGCGCGTCACCTCGCGGGCCATCACCGAGGACGACCAGAAGTTCCAGGCCTTCAACACCCTCCGCAGGGTGAGTGACGGGATGTCGGCGGTGGTGCTGGTATGGGGGCTAGGCAACGGATACTACACTCGATGAACGGCTGCAGTCTTGTTGTCTTTTTTTTTTTGCTTATAAATATCTGTTTTGGATGCATGGTAAATTTATACAACACGAGGCTAATTAAGTTGCTCAGAATCTGATCGATATTGTGTTATTAAAGAAGTTCCATTTCTCGCGTTTCTATTTTTCTGGGGAGGGGAGGGAAGTGCATCTACCTCTCTAAGGAATTACGCATTATTGCCGACGGTTGTCCATAAAAGCGGACACGGCCTGCCCGTGTCGTGCTGTTTTGGCTCGCCCGCTGCTTACCGTCCTTACAGTCAGTAATGTCTGGTTATTCTATCTGTTCGCCGTCTGGTTCTATCTGTTCGCCCCTTTCCACCGCTGTCCGCCCCTCCCGCCGCCCGTGGCTGACCGGGCCGGTGTCTCGTGTTCCAGAGTCGCGCCACAGCGCGCATGTGGGGTCTCCGTGCCAAGCGCGCAAAGGAGGCGGCCGAGGATCAGGAGATCGCCGGAAAGGCAGCAGCCAAGAAGGCCGCCAAGGGCAAGTGATCACCGTGTCAGACCGTTGCGAACCAATACACCACCCGCCGTGGAGCCCTCAGTGTCTGACGGGGTGGGACTGGGGTAAGGGAGAGTGGAGACTGCTGGCGGGGGGTCGTTCTGTCACATGGAGGCGGGACACGGCGTATCTCCAACTAAAGGTGCGGGGAGGATGGGGAAGTTACATTAGGTGGCAGACTTCCACAGCGCGCTGGTTTATGAGCCGTACACACGACGTAACATACCACAGCAGAGCGGTCGTCAGCTGTACGGGTACGCGGGCTTGGTTGCAACAGCCGGTGGGGGCTCTGGGTCGTGCAACACGTCACGGCGGATATTGGCCCGTGATACGACTAAAGGGTAACACTTTTCGGCATGCCTGCCCCGTAGATCAGTTGGAAGAGCGTTGGACTAGCGGTAGCGGGGGCCCGGGCACGAGTCGCTCCTGCGCTCGATATATTAACCCGCGACCTGGTGGGGGGGGGGCTATTTTTTGCCCCCCTCCAGACTTTTCGATATATCTCCAGAACCGCTGCGCCGATCGTCACCAAACTTTCAGTACCCTCCCGGACAACAATTTTACACATTGTGACCAAAATTTTTTCCAAAGGCTATGATGGGTTGGCCGGAAATGACGTCAGAGTGACGTCATGTTCTGCCGTTTTCGGCCCAAAAAAGGGTTTCGCGGGAAGAGCTGTCAGGCCTATAGCTTTGCAAATACAGAAAAATGATAAAGACATAAAAGCTGTAGAATTGACAGGGCTACAAAACTGCTATCTCGGATTTTTGAAATTTTTGGATTTTGATCCCCAAAAATCAAAAAATAGATTTTTTGGATATAATAGTCGAAAAATCCAAAAAGTTTTTTGAATTTCGCAAAAACCGGAATATATGTGATAGTCCTTACCGCTTTCCATCCACATACCAAATTTGAGATTGATACCTCTTTTTTTGGCGAAGTTATAGCGAAAAAAAACTTCAAAATTGTTGACGTCAAATTTTCAAACTTAATTTTTAGCAATTCTAGACCCCGTAGCGCAAAACAAAGACCACCATTAGACTCCCCGTGACGAGCTGCATCGAATCAATACCCATTTTATGCAAAACTATCAACTTTAAAATTTGACCTTTTTTGGCCTGACCTTGACCTGACCTTGACCTGACCTTCACCAGAAAGTGACCTAAGCCGTACCTGATAGTCTTATAACCAACACCATTGAGTTCGAAATGAAAAATTGGCCATAAAACATGCATCACACAACCTTAGTAAAGTTGGGTTCATGTGACCTGACCTGTGACCCTTGGTGACCTGACCTGTGACCTGACCTGGTATTGTCAGTGACCTCTTATAGCAACATATCTACTAGGCAACTGACGCCCTATCGCTGATTCTCGACAAAATGCGTTTTCCTTGGTGTTATAGCGCATTCCCTAGAAGACCCGTGAACGGTGAAACATTTCATCTTTGACCTGACCTGTGACGTCATCGGTGACCCCGAGGTCAATAAAATTTGGGTTCCCTCGACAATTTTGACAGGCCTTTCGAACGCCGTTTGAATTTTGCGGATCCGTCCAGTAGTTTCGGAGATACGAGGGGGGGGGGGCAAAAAATAGCCCCCCCCCCACCAGGTCGCGTTATAAACAGACCCCACCAGGGCGCGGGTTAAACTCATAATAACACATCGTCACTCGCAGGCTTCAGCGTTGCGTGGCATGTTTTCCGTTGCGGACAAACTAGCTTCTCCCCATCCCTCCTGAAATGTCAGCAGACATTTTGTCAGCTAAATTATGTCGGTGGCTCATGCTATGGCCATTGGCCATAGGTCTACAGGAATTATATTATAACTTGCAAGATTTGTTGGACGCTATGTTGATAAGTACTAGTATGTTAGTTTGCCTGAATTATTATCGATCTGATTATGGATGGAAAACAAGAAAGGTCACATTCGTAGTCTCCTCTGAGTCCTCTCCACAGCTCCGTACCGATTGATATGTCGCCGATGTATGCGTTTGCTCATGAGCTGTAAGAAAGACACCATTAAATTGAATAGGTACTTCTCCGGAAAGTCGGGCCCCGTGTAGTAAATTTGGCGTGTGATCAACCACGCACACACTGACTCAAACCGTTCTGCCGGCCAAACTCGCCGCTGTCATGGGTTCGTGTTTATTGTAAGGGCGCAGTATCCTCGGAGCGGGCGGTGGGAAAAAGATTGCACACGCGCACGCGGCCCATATCACTCGGCCGCGTCTGCCGACTCCGAGTCATCAGACTCGAGCGGCTCGAGCGGCCGTCGGACCAGCGCCGCAAGTGTTACTGAGCATTGCTAGCGGCGGCTGCGTGCGCCGACGGCGTCACCTATATACCGACTGGTGCTGCCACCTATAGCGGTGATTTAGCCGGTCCGCTGCCCTGCGGTGTCGCAAGTCAGTCCAGTTCGTATCACAGGGAGAAGGCGCAGCAGCACCGGACTCGGTCAGATCCTCGGTGCTGAGACGAATCGAGAAGAGATATAGACGTGTGTAATATGTGTGCGAGGACGCAAAAACAGACGTCTCGAGGCATCACGACGGTATAAGCAGGGACGACTGGCAGAAAATCAGGAGCTGATCGAGAATGGACGCATAACCTGGGGCCGGATGTCAAGCGGAGAAAAAACAAACGAGTCCGGCGCAAAAGTGATCTCACTCTCGCACTGTCACTCTATAGTCTTGTAACACGCACTCACGCACTTCCTCCTCTTTGATTCGAACGCGGTAACAATACAAGAGGGGTATTCACAAGTAGCACTCTGGGCTGATAAACACTAATTTAGCGCGTTAAAAACAAGTTCAAAGGCACAGTATCGAGGTCCTTGAACCTGCATGAAAACGCTTCACTCGTTTTCGTTTCGTCAGTGTCTCCGTTTCAGTCCCCGAGAAGGCTTGGCTTCGTATAGAGGGAAGGCACGGATTGGTCGCTGGGTCGATGACGTCAGGCGCTCGCGGGCCAATCAGCACCGGGCGGGATGTGTGGCGTTGCAGGGCGCGTCGCTACGTAAGTAGCTTGATGAACAGCACCGCCAGGGAGATGTTGAGGACGATGACGGCCATGATGAGCCTCTGCCGCGACAGCCAATCCTGGCGAAACGGCGTGACCAGTCAGTCACCAGCCAGTCACCAGCCAGTCACCAGTCAGTCACCAGTCAGACACCAGTCAGTCACCAGTCAGACACCAGTCAGTCACCAGCCAGACACGCTCACCCAGTGGCGGATCCAGGGGGGGGGGGCAAAATGGGCATTTGCCCCTCTCAAACGGCGTAATTTTAACATTACGCCTATGGACGAGGCATGGAAAGAATCGATAAATTGTTATGGTTTGCCCCTCCCCCCCCCCAAAAAAAAAAAAACTCTGAGCTGGATCCGCCTCTGCGCTCACCGAGGATGAGGTTGGGCTCCACTTCAAACGGCTGTTTATTACTAGATCACCAATTTAGTAGTTACCTGTTCTGACCCTTTTTCTGTAAGCCAGGGATGATCAGTGATGAAGTGGAGCCCATGTGAAAATGATTTTAAAATGAATAACTGGCATCTACCCGTTACCGTAGAAATTGAAACGATTCCAGTGCACTATGTCCATTTATCCTCCCCACTCCCCAGTCAAGACCCTTTCCACCTGGCAGACCTCCCACAGCAACTGACCTTGACCTTTGGATTGACCACGTAGAGGAGCGGGTTGGCCCGGTACATTTCCGCCTCGGCTGCCTGGCGTCGCACATCCTCACGACGGTGCGCGGCCAGCATGTTGGCCTCCTCTCGTGGCATGACACGCGCCTTCACTGGTAGTGCGGAGGCGTCCGGTAGCGACTTCTTCCGCTGCAGGGTGCCGCTCGACGACAGCGACGGCTGGCGGACAAACCGAGAACTAATCATACAGGTGCCAGGGATGTGGCGAAAGATTCACACACGGAGCGACTGAATGTCCAGTCAGGCTCTGTTCGGTCAATTAGATGGGTGAAATCAAACGAGAACGGATGGGGCGTATATGACATCAATAGCTCATCAATTGTGTTCGAAATATGAGCCAAAAGATGCTTCGGTTGTGCTCCTGGCGCAGTTGTCAGCAGAAGTGACTGTCCAGTGTCCAATGGCTACTGACCGTGCCTGTACACTGGCTACGGGTCGTGACTTTTAAGAGGTTGTCGAGGGGCTAATGAACGTGGCTGTCGAGCGGCTACTGACTATGCTCTGTTCCGTTTCAAGCCTGCGGCCGAAGTGCCCTGCTGATTGCTGAAGGCAGGGTGTGATTTCTGTGTATACGACTCTCATTACAGACGCAAATTTTTGAGCGGAAGAGCGATCTGCCGAAGAAACTCCAACCGCAAGCTTGATGTGGAACAGAGTATAGTAATGTGTCTACTAATGCGAGGGGTTGTTCACTGGCTAGTGGCTACTGGCTACTGACCGTGGCTCCGCGGCGCGCCGTCGGCCCGGCGGTGACGGTACTCTCGGTGCGTTTAACGCCGCTCCCTCCGGCGGGCGGAGTCAGCAGCCGGGCCGCCTCCTCGGGTGTGTTCGGGATGAAGAGGCCGCCGGTGACCTCCTGGTCGGCCAGGTTAGGCAGCGTCTGTCGCCGGCCGCCCACCGGCACCTCCTCCGGCTCGGGCGGCTCGGGCGCGCCCGGCGGCGGCCGCGAGTTGCCGCGCACGCGCGCCACCAGGTCGGGCGGCAGGCGCACCGGCGGCGGCTCCGGCTGCGGCGTCTGACGCGCCGATCGGCTGAACCGGTCTACGGACACGTCCCGGCTCGGCGGCCGCCGGTAGTGGTCGAAATGATCGTTCATGGCCGCCTGGAACTGTCCGCCGCCGCCGGCCGACGGGCCCCGCGAGCTGGCGCGCGTCGGCCGAGAGCCGGCCCGTGCCAGCATCCTGCCGCGCGGCCGCCCGTCGGCGCTGTCCGCCGCCGCCGGTGACGACGGGCCGCCGTCGAGCGCAGCGTCCCCGTTGAGTCGGTGATCGGCAAGCGTCGTGGCGGAGAGGTCGTTCTCTTCCGTCTGATGAGGGGGCGTCATGTGCGCCAGGGGTGACACGGAGAGCGGCGCCGGGTGTGGCACGGTCACCGGACCAGGGATCGGCGGCAGCTCGCGCTCCGAGTCCCCGCTGTCCTCTGCGCTCAGGCCCGGCGGCAGGCCGTTGGGCGGCGGCTGCTCCTCGCCGCGCGGCCGCACATACAGCGAGCGCGACCTCTGGTGCAGCGAGTTCTCGTCGCGCGCCTTGGGAGGGGCGAGTGTGTTCATGTTGGCGGCGCCGCCGCGTGCCTCCAGCCGGGAGCGGACCACGTCAGACCCTGCCAACGGCGGAAAGGGAGGTCAGAAGAACGCTGGGGGTGATCAGACGGGCTGGGCAGTCAGACGAACGGGGATCAGGCGAACTGGAGATTAAACACGAGTGCTGGGGGAGGTCAGACCAAAAGGGGACAGTCAACAAGTTGATACGATTGGAGAAATAGAGAGAGAGAGAGTGGAGACATGCCACATGAAAATACCTACGCGCTAACACGAATTGCTACCCGGCTTGTTCATGGAATTGTTTTCTCAAGTCAACTGTAAGGGGAACGAACTCTTTTTGCCGCCACATTTGCGCGACGAATTATGATTTCCAGTCTCTTGCACACGCGCTGCTTTCATCTCACATCCGCATTGCTTCCATTCATCTCACATCCGGGTTCTATTACTCTCTGCGGGAGCTGCCGGGGATTAAAAAATAATTCCGGAGTGCTTGCTGCCTTCCCGCAACTTCACCGAACCACCGTCGTTCGACATGCCCAGAACTCTGGGGTCGGTGAACCCACGCTGTAAGTACAAACTGGCGCACACATACAGCCATTAGGCAGCAGGCCAGCCAGCCGTGCCACTGCCACAAGGGCGGCGCCACCGTGGGGGCAGTGGGGGCAGACTGCCCCCACTGGCAGGAGGCCGTGGGGGCAAGACTATGTTTTTGCCCCCACAAAATTTGGCTGATGTTGAAAAGGGAACAGAAGACCGGTGCAACATTCATGATAGGCGGTTAATAACATAATAGTACGCCGTTCGTTCTCGGACCGTCTGTCGCATATCTCCTACTCCCACTCATTCTTCTACTCTTTTTCATTTGCACCAGAAGGCTGCCCTCGAGCTTGACCTCGAGGAGGTTGAGAGACAGCTTGTCAAAAGTCGGCCAGAGAAGAGATCTTTTGGGAAACCTTAGACTGAGACTGAGCTCAGGAAGGTATGACAAAATGTGATGGGTATGTATATCCGGGTTATCTGGAAATGTGTGTGGGTCGCCCTAATGGAGCTTATTCTGGTATCAATCGTGTGTGAGAGAATCGCACATATACATACGTACTACGGGAAAAAAGAGAACTAGGTACCTACTAACTATTGTTTGGAGGAATACACCATTTTACATCTCAACGAACAACATAACGTTTTCACAGGTTTGTGTCTCGCAATCTAGTTTTATAGTTTTATTTGCTCGCGACCTTTTAACCCAGCCGGGCCCGGGGGTAATCCCAACCACCGCAGCCCGGGGGTAGCCCCCTCCCCCCCCCCCACCTGTCTAACTCCGTAAATAAGACAGCTACGTAAACAAAAATGGTACCAAATGAAAGATATCTACGAGAAGATTCTTAAAGCCCCTAAACCTTTTGACCTCAGGTAAATTTTTAAGGCCAGAAGTCAATGTCAAAGGCAAAAACCGGCACTTTTGTATAGTGGTCTCAAAGTACGTGTTCCAGAGGACGGCATGGTTCATAAAACCGGCTAAAATGCAGATGTTAAACGAAAGACGAGAGTCTGGAATTCCTATGATGTGCATAACATTCAAATTCGAGGTCACGGTCATGCTCAAAATTGGCCACAAACTTTGCACATTTTCTCATACTTTTTCTCTTTCACTTATTCAAGTCAGGCATAATACCTATATTAAGACACGTTTTGCCATCCTGAGGCTCTAAACGAATGCTTACGCTTAGAGCAAAATGGATGCCAGAATCGTGATCAGCGGCTACGAAATAATCACAAACGACCTTTCATGTGTCAAAGTCAACCAAAGGTCATTCGAGGTCACATGAGGTCAACATAAAACTTGACCTTTTCAAAACAATGTATATGTCATTCGACGCGACTCGACGAGACGAATGCGAAGATACCACTGCCGTAGCTCTAGGACCATCATTTTTGTTGAAGTTATTTGCGAAAAAACTAAAGCCCCAGCTCGGGGTCGTTGACCTGATCTCTGACCTCAGGTCACCAAAGTTACTTAAGTATTTTTTTTCTCGGTCAAATGCTACACAACCACGCTCGTAATTTGTCTTTATCTCTAAAACTCTATTTTTGGCAGGTGGTTGAAGTTCACGTCTGTGGCGCCGAAGTTTGCCTAGAGTAATCGGCCCTGAGACGTTATCAAGGAGACTATGTCCAATTTTTTTGCTTCAAAAAATGTTAAATTAATGGGTGATAAGGTACAGCAAATTTTGGCTTTCTATCCCTAAGCGTTCGTGAGGTATCGCAAATATATCGCCAGGGGGAGGCGAAAAACGCCCCCCCTCTCTTCCGCGCGGGCCCGCGAGGGTTAATGGTTCAGCTCAATACGTATGCATGAAACCTGAAACCATAATAGTTTTGAATAGCAACATCTAGGGGCAAGGTGCTCATGGATTTTGCAGATCGGCGTATCAGACAACAGTCGGGTCACCTCAATCTTGCCCCCACTGGCGAAAATTCGTGGCGCCGCCACTGCACTGCCATCTGACTATCACACTTCTCGCTCACTTCTCTCTCTCTCTCTCTCTCTCTCTCTCTCTCTCTCTCTCTCTCTCTCTCTCTCTCTCTCTCTCTCTCTCTCTCTCTCTCTCTCTCTCTCTCTCTCTCTCTCTCTCTCTCTCTCTCTCTCTCTCTCGCTGCCATCCTGCTCCGCCATCTGTGGAGAATGCGGAATGGGGATGCCGTTCCGCCTGCTGAAGCTGTCCTCCGGCGGACTGGCTCTCTCTATCGGCTTGCCGGCGGGCCTGAGCTGGTAGACTGTGCCGCATTACATGGCAGCCGGGCGGCACAGCATCCTGGTATAACGTAAAGGCTGGTTGCCGGTTTCCACGCAGCGCCCATTGCTCACTGCGCGGCCGGTAGCAAGTCCCTTTCCCGTTTCTGTTCAGGACTGAATTGGTGATAAGCAGAACTAGAAGTAATTTCTAGTTGGCGTACACCTTGAGTCTTTGTCTTGATCGATATTGCGTGGTTCCAGCCGTCCATTTGAACGACGTTTTTGCGGCCTTCATGTGCCTCCAGACGGGAGCGGACAACGTTCAACTCTGCCTTCGGCAAGTATTCAATCGGGACACCTTTTGTGAACCGATGCAGTTGAACTGGACCTAATAGGTAAAACTGTTGGTACAGACACCAAACTAGCACTAAACTACCTTCATAGGGGCACGCATCGGTCCGTAGACCCCACCCGCTGCGCCGATCCCGGGTTCCAGCTGCTCCGCCGGACCCGGACGGCGCCCGGTGCACCGCTGCAGACTACCGGACGTGGGTCTGGCGGCGCCGGGCCGCCGGGTCGCGCCGGACTCGGGGCGGGTCCAGTAGCGGCGGAACACTTTCAATTAAGGGGGGAGGGCACTGCCGACTTTTGGTCCCATTCTTTCCATGCAACGCCCATAGGGCTAATGTTAAAATGCCAAAGTCAAGGGGGGCCGGTGCCCCGGTGCCCTCCCCGTTCCGCCGCCTATGGGCAGGTCTGCACTAATTGCACGTGACGGCGCCGCTCCAATTTAGCGTCGGCAGCCGGGTGGCGACCGGGCGCCGGTGACGGCGGGTTGCCCGCGCCCCCCGGTGGCCCGGCGGCCTGACCAGCTATTTCTGTCCCGGCGCCCCGGCAGCCGGGCAGCCGGGTCGCCTGCCCTCCCCGCCCTCCCGGCATATCAACACAGCACGCGCTCCTGCCGCCCCCCCCCCCCCCTCCCTGCCCCGGTCAGACAGGCGGAAGTGAGGGAGCTGCGAGCGGGGCCCGTCCGACCTAGTTAACCTGACCGTGGCCTGGCCGGCCGGTCTGAGCGAGCAGACTGCCAGGCGGACCTGCGTCCGGACCGGCCAGGGTGGGGAGGGCGGCGGCTGGACCGTCTGGGTAAACACCACCACCTTGTCTGGTCGACCACCGATTCGGTGCAGCGGGCCGAAACCTCACTGCACTGACCCGCTTCCCGCATCGCCCGACCTCTGTTCGGTACGGCGCCTCCCCGCAACAGAGCCCCCTTCACTAACTAGCGCCGCGCTGGCCTGTATACGCAGCCGGGCAACTCGTATAAACGGTCGTCGCCGTGGTATGCGGCGTCGGCGCCGACGCGTCCGCCAAGAGCCGATCGGTTCTGCGAACGGGGCCGCGTTCCGGCTACTGGTGCATTGTTCGGTGTTCCGTCAGCGCTGGGGGTCGTGAGTCAGCACAGCTCCGCAGGGAGGGGGTACGGGTGGTGACGAAACCCCGCCGACCTCCACTCTCTCCCCTCACCCTGCCACTGCCTCCCCGTCCTACCGGGGGCCCAGGGCACGAAATCTCGGTCACGGGGCCACTGGAGAGCCGGTGGTGCGCACTGGGAACATGCCAGAACGCGGTCTGGCCCCGGCACCTGTCGATTACACCACGCGACGCAGATGCCGTCTGTGCAGAGCTCGGCGCAGGGGCGGTCTGCGTTGCTCCTGTCGGGGAAATAGAGATATATGGGACGGTATTAACCCGGCAGTTGCTGGGGTATTTCGCCACCCACCGTTTGCTGGGGGGGGGGGGGGGGCGTTAAACGCCCCCAGCCGATAACTCGAGAACCAATAGGCGCAGCGAAACGCACGAGGCGGCAAACGAAAGAACGCGACGAGACGCTTCAGATGAGTACTTTAAAGTTGAATTTTGAGGTCACAGGTCGGGTCAAGGTCAGGTCAAACACCTGAAATCGGGCTTTCAGTAGCATGGACTTCAGGACTTCGCAATGGGCGCCTCTCGTCATAAACTCTGTCAAAACGGTGCACAATCCATCATATAAGGCCTACAAGAGTGTCAGCTCCATGTAGGGGTCAGTCAAGCATAGGTCGGGGTCAAGGTCAGGTCAACCAGGTAGGCACATATCCTCGAAAATCAAAACCGATATTCGCAGCCTGTGACACATGTTTTATGGGTAATTTGGGGCGTAGAACACGATGGTGGCATTCATTTTATCATATGTGTACGTGTTTGGCTCAAAAAGTTCAATTTAAGAAATATGTACATGTATCATGGTCGTGAAGAAGTCACGAGAAATTGCCAAGATTCAGTTCAAGATTTTGGAAAATGCGGAACGATAATCAATAATCGAAGATAGCCATTTGATTGTTCATGGCATTGGCAGTCTAATGGCGTTTACGGCATGTCTGTATGTCTATTCTGTGATTTTATATGATTTTTTGAACATATGCCGTTTTTGGTCGAAAACTCAGAAATCATGACGTCACTAAAACCTCGATATCTCAAAAATTTTCCGACCGATTTTTTTGAAACTTTGTCACAATAAACTTCAATCAATTCCCTACAGGTACCCAAAATTTGGGCGCGCCATTTTTGTGTTATGGCCCGGCGAAAAAAGTGGGGGCGTTTAACGCCCCCCCCCCCCCAGCAACTCGCGGGTCGTCCGGCGCTGCCATGCACCGGAGGGTGGTCCGGTGCGGAGACCTAACAATCTCTTCCACACAATGTCGGTTTTGCTGCTTTGATTAAGTACAAAAAAATAAGCAGAAACTTACCGACTAGGCACTGGCAGGACGATGAATACGCAATGACTGCAATTCACTTCTAGCAGCGTCTTTTCATTCCTACACAGCAGAACGGACGTCCGCATTGCAGTGGCGCGGGAACCGGGGGGGCTAGGGGGGGCTGAGCCCCTCCAACTTTTCGGCTGGGGGGGCTCGTAATGTAATTGAGCCCCCCCCAGCTGGAGGAATCGAAATAGGAAATCTACCAACATAATTTCATAGACTCATACATAGTCGCGGGAACCGGGGGAGGGGGCAGTGGGGGAAGCTTGCCCCCACTACTCTGCGGCCGTGGGGGCGGTGCCCCACAACTTTTCATGAGAGCAGGCACCGTTGGGCAGCTTGTCCCCCGCCGAAATTAGGGGTTGTGGTTCACAAAGGAAGAAAGCATATAAGTGAAAAATCCACCTCTTTCACTGGCTCGGCCATGGGTGAAACTTTGACATTACCATTGGGGTCCCAAACGTCCAAGGGGGCCTCCATTTAGTGGGGGCCTCCAAGCAATTAGGGGCCTCCAATCGTGGAAGCGGTAATTTACGAACCACGCCAGGGTCTCCTCTAAGAAACTTTCACTGGGGGACCAGAGGCTCAGAAGCCAAACCCAGGGTACCCCCAAATCCAGTTTTCTCATCGGATTTAGGCCACTTATTTTTCGTCACAGCTCGGGTGCCATGATTTAATTTTTTAATATTAATAAAGAAATGGTAGGTCACCTGACCCTATTTGTGGTTCCAGGCCAGCAGGGTGACATTGTATGCAAATTTTCCCCGCGGCGTCCGAAATCGACGAAAATTTCTGGCTTTTTTCACTTTCGACAATAAAACAAAATGCCTTTATTATAAAAAAAATCTAACGGCACAGCATTGCGCATGGAATCTAACCGACCCCAGAAAATGTGAGGGTTAACCCTATTCCGCACCTGGGGTGAGGGTTGCCCCCCCCCCCAAGATAGTTTTTCTGCTCTACACTGAACATTTTAAAAGCTAAAAACCTGATTTTTTGTATAGCTGCTTTTCTATCTTTTCTCAGCGTTCATTGAAAATTTCAAGTTTCTGGGGTATTTGGTTTTGGAGATATGACCTTGTTCTTCAGGTCATGTCATGCCCTAAATGACGAATACCCAATATCTTGCGTTGGCTATGGGCCTTGTGAGCTTTTGACACCCTGATTTCGTTTTTTTTTGCCAGTCTTACCTCCCACCTATCATTGAACATGTTGTTCTGCGATGTAGATACAGATGTCAGGGTCATGGTCAAGGTCAGCCTACGTCATCTAAAATTGTTGCGTTTTAGGCAAGCTGAATTTACTTTTCGTGAAGTTTCTTTGACTGCATGCATGTAGTAAAAGCTTCGCAGTTCATGATCTCATGTAATAGGCAGAGACACACAAACCAATTTGTGCACACATCAGTACATACACAGACATACAAACACATATCATTGACCTTGACCTAACTTGACGTGAAATGATCACAGCCAGCAAATTAGTCGGATAGTGTGACAAAGAGCTGTTCTAGCTGGCTTGGCACTAATACGGCAGCGTCATCGGTATATGATGGGTTGGCCCGCTGCTTGTGTAGGTATTTTATTCGACATCACGACAATTTTGTCTTACAAAATTTTAAGCTTCGCGGTTAAGAGCAACAGATTCTTTGGGAAGAGACGAATCCAATGATACCAAATTTTACCTCCTCAGGTCAGTCATTGACCTTTCATCAGGTCAAACTAAAGAATGTTGCTGTTTGGGGTCACCGTTGCCGATTTTAGGACTTAAGTACGTATCGCTAAAGTACGTAGGACAAAAGTACGTATGCAAATGTTCGTACGCAAATAAACGTAGGCGATAAAGTTCGTATGCTAAAAGTAGATCATGAACTGAGAAGCTTTTACCAAAAATACAGTCAAAGAAACTTCACGAAGTAAATTCAGCTTGCCTAAAACGCAATATTTTTAGATGACCTAGGTTGACCTTGACCCTGACCTTGGCATCTCTACATCATCGAACAGCTTGTTCCATGATATATGGGAGGTAATACTGGCAAAAAACGCCGAAATCAAGGGGTCAAAAGCTCACAAGACCCATAGCCAACGCAAGATATTGGGTATTTGTCATTTGGGTTATGACCTCACCTGAAGAATAAGGTCACATCTCCGAAACCAGAAACCACAAAAACTTGAAATTTTCAGTGGACACTAAGAAAGGAATTAGAGAAGCAGCTATACAAAACATCCGGCTTCTAGCAAGCAAAATGTTGAGTGCAGAGCAGAAAAACTACCTGGGGGTGGGGGTGGGGGTGGCAATCACTACCCCCCCCCCCCCTATGTGCGGGCGAAGATTAAATAATTTGAATATCAGGAAAACAATTTATTCAAACAGGTATTCCAAATTTCCAACAGAGTCCCGCTTTTTTATAGGTGACCTCCGATTTGTGTAGAATCTAAGTTGCCCAGGGGGCCTCTTATTTGTAGGTACAGTACAGAGAGCCTCCTACTTCGACTACTTGTACAGAGAGCCTCCTTTTTGTACATACAGCTAAGCTTCTACAGGTCGAGCGCCGGTCTTCTAGTTGTACGTACAGAGAGCCTCCTACTGTTACAGAGGGCCTCCTATTTGTCTAGGGGGTCTCCTATTGGTTAATGGCGCATCCTATTTGTCCAAGGGACCTCCTATTCGTCTAGGGGGCCTCCTATTTGTCCAGGAGGCCTCCTGTTTGTCCAGAAGGTCCCGTATTTATCCAAAGGGCTTCTATTTTCCAGGGGGCTTCCTCTTTATCCAGGGGGCCTCCTACGTGTTCAGGGGCCTCCTATTTGTCCAGGGGCCTCCTATTTATCCAGGGGTCTTCTATTCGACCAAGTGTCTCATATTTGTGCAGGGGTCTCCTACTTGTTCAGGGGCCTCTTTTTTTGAAGGGCCTCCTTTTTATTAAGGGAGCCTTCTATTTGTCCAGGGGGCCTCCTATTCGTACAGAGGGCCTCTAGCTCCTTTTTATCCATGGGCCTCCTATTTGTTCAAGAGGCCCCTATTTGTACAGAGGGCCTCCTACTTGTCCAGGAGGCCTCCTATTTGTCCAAGGGGCCTGCTATTTTCTAGGGGGCCTCCTATTTGCCCAATAGGCCTCCTACTTGTCCAGCGGGCCTCCTATTTATCCAGAGGGCTCCTATTTTTAGGGGGCCTCCTCTTTATCCAGGGGGCCTCCTTCTTGTTCAGGGGGCCTCCTATTTATCCAGGGGCCTCCTATTTGTCCAGGGGGTCTCCTAATTGTCTAGGGGGCCTCCTTTTGTGAAAGGGGCCTCCTATTTGTCCAGGGGGCTCCTAATTGTCCAGGGGGCCTCCTTTTGTGAAAGTGGCCTCCTGTTCGTCAAGGTCTAGGGCCTCCTATTTGTCCAGGGGGGCCTCCTATTTTTCCAGGGGGCCTCCTATTTGTACAGAGGGCCTCCTACTTGTCCATGGGGCCTCCTGTTTGTTCAGGGGGCTTCTTATTTGTACAGAGGGCCTCCTATTTGTCTAGGGGCCTCTTATTTGGCTAGGGCCTCCTATTTGTCCAGGAGGCCTCCTGCTTGTCAAGAGAGCCTCCTATTTCTCCAGGGAGCCTCCTGTTTTCCGGGGGGGGGGGGGGGCTCCTACTTGTTCAGGGGGCCTCCTACTTGTTCAGGGGGCCTCCTATTTGTCCAGGGGGCCTCCCATTTGTCTAACAGGGCCTCCGATTTGTCCAAGGGGCCTCCTTTTTATACAGAGAACCTTCTATATGAACATCGTACCTCCGTTTGTAAAGTAGCTGGTGCGTCTCGGGGGCCTCCACTATTGGGGTCCCAAAATGACAATTGGGGTCCCAAATGTTCGCATTGGGGTCCCACATGGGACCTCAAAAGTATACAAAGTTACACCCATGGGCTCGGCAACTCATTTGGCAGATTAAAACCTTTATTCCAAAACGCTGCCAAAACGGTAGTTTCTTCACTCAGCTGAGACGGAATACCTACCACACTTTTTTGCAAATATTTTCGTTTTTTTTTCGTTGAAAAGGCCAAGGTCTGAAAAATAAGTGGCCTAAAACCGGTGAGAAAACTAGATTTGGGGGTACCCTAGGTTGATCTCTATTATGGTTCAGCCCCCCCAGTCTGGAAGAAGTTCCCGCGCCACTGCCGCATTGCGGCATATACTCACCCGGCTGATGAAACTCGGGCGCGAACTGTTTGGCGTGAATACGGGCGACGTCCGAGTCCTCCCTGGAGTGGATGGCCGCGATGTCTGCCTGCTCCGCCTTCCCGCGCGCTGTGGCCGTCCTGCAGAGGGGTGGGCTCCGTCAGTTGAGGGTTCGTCCAGTAACGAATGTTTCAAAACTCTGCGTGATTGATAATGTGCAAACATGGGAAATAAGGCGATCGCGGGTGGATAGTAAATCCCTAAAAATAATGGCTTAGTTGCGATAAAATCACAAGACGATGTATAGATGTCTATGTAGGCGATGTCATGACGCCATGTCTAGATGGTAATGCGAGTGATGTCTATTTATGACATTCGTGATATTCTTGGAGTCAAAAATAAATTTTCATTAGCGATCAGCCGCTGCGGAGAGTGGTTTCGATCGCACCAACGATTTGTACCGCCACTCTGTTAATTATTTCATTCGGCCAGGGCGGCACGGCGAGAATCGATTGTCAATAGCCAATCGGTGCTGGATCACCGCCCGGTCGGTCTCGCCCCCCCTCCCCACCCCACCCCTCTCTACCCCGCCCCGCCCCAGCCACGCTCGATGTCGGGTGCAGCCACGGCTGCACGTGACTTCCCCACCACGCGGTGGTGGCGGCCTACCGACCGTCACGTGACCTCTATACCTGGAGGCGATAACGGGTGCGGCGAAAATTAAACATGCAATGAAGCAAAGCACGATGCATGTGTTATGCAACAATTATATAAGCGTGGAAGTGCTTGATGTAAACAAAGGGAATGGAACTTTAGTGGTTAATGTTTTTTTTCGGATAGTTGTTCTTTCCAAAGTTGACTTTGATCTGATGTCGGAGTGCAGCCGGAGACGTGACAGACGGTAAATTGAATCTTGGTAAACCCATACGCCGTGTTATCGACTCTCAATGCTCAAAGACAGACGGTCTTTTGAGCAGACAGGAAGTCCTGGGACGGAGAAGTCTTGGATACGAAGAGCTCGGTCTACAATCTCAGAGTTTCGGGAGTTACCTAATTTTACGTGCCCATCAGGGTTTGATAATTGGTGAATATTTAGTGGATCTATCGAGCACGTCATTTAATGGTGGAATATTGAATGTCGCGCGTACACGTCTACTGTCCCCGTAGGTAATGAAAGACGTAAATACGAGACGAATGCATGTTCGTATTCACATCTGAGAACTCCATATCCATACAACACATCTAAAGCCCATTATAGTCCAACATATTGCATGTCCCATGACGCATTAAGCATTTCCACGCTTTTCTGGCCTATATCTTATGGCAAGACTATACCTACGGCAGTGTCAGAGATGACCAACTACCGCATAATTCACGGACTAAATGCAGACCATAATAGACAGCACTGATTCCCATGAACGTTTCGACATTTCCGGCATCCAAAACCGTCCAAAACCGACGCTTCCTTCACCGGTAAGAATCTCTCATTTTTGCTCGGAGGTGCTGCGAAGGGATAATCGCGGTAAACAGAAGTGGGCGCCGGTAAACAGCGGGTTTCGTCCGGCCGGCGCCGCTACAGCGCCCGTGTTGTTCTGCCGTCGCATCCCGGACCCGCCTTCCCCGGCCAACACAAATAGGCGGCGGGCAGAGCGGGTCGGGCCGGCCGCGGACGGGGAACCGTCACACAACACCCGTATACTGAGCTGTACGGACCCGGACGGACGCGGCCGACGGCGGAAAATAAACCGCCGCATCCGCATTGAATGAAAATTGGGCTATAGACTGAAGCGAAATGGCATGGGGAGCGGCCTGGCGCGCATTGTGCTATTGAGAGAACTTCAACAGGATTTTGTTGGATGTTTCGGACATCACGGTCTCGCCAAAATTTCCACTCTCCAGGAAAGTGAAGTAGGTACACTTCTGAGGTCAAGTAGCGTCCATATCCAGTCGTCCATTCGTGTGAATCACCGATAGACGCTAAATTTGAAATAAAATTTGAAAATAATACTTAAGTTTATGTGTTACATAACTATACCAAAACAAACGTTTCATATTCGGTCTATCAATTTAAAATTAATCAGATGAAGCCTAAAGCCAAGTTTCTTAGAACCTCACCGGAATGTAATCTAGACCAAAGCATGTGACATATTATTATGTTTCAAATATGCCACGTTCAAACTGGGATGGTTGGGTGACGTTTCGCTGACGCGGTCGGTTAGTCGTCAGCTCCCTATAAAGCCGGCCCGGCCCAGCCAGTCCAGGTCGCCGGAGCGCCGCGTCTGTCGCGGCGGCGCCACATTTGGCGACAGCGGCCGGCTGCCAACGCCGACCAGACGGCAGCTGGTGACACGGGACCCGGCAATGAACTCGGCGCCTGGCGGCCGGCGACGGTCGACAGACGGACGGACGGCGCACCAGACGCCGGCAGTAATGGCCTAACGCGGTACCGGCCATTTGCACGGCCGTGTCACGCGGCTAAGTGGAGCCGGAACACCGCACCACGAGCTGCAGCTGCGGCCCGGTACGGACAGGCCTGCAGATAACGTTCGCAGTTCTGCCGGTTTTCTGAGGCTTAAAAACCTCCTTCCCCGGTGGCGGAGCCCCTAGTCTCTACATTTTGGCTACTCATGGTATTGGTCAACACAGCTAAGCGTCACCCTCACCATTCGCCATCAACGATAAGTTCCTGCATCGCCAATACTCCCAGCAGAAACATAAAGTCGTTGTTTTGTGACTGACAGTTACTGACACGCGAGTTTTCCAACTGAACTGACCTGCTAATGGCGATGTCTGCCTTCTGAAGGGCGATCTTGGACGCCCGGTTGGCCGCGTTGACGGCCGCCTCGATCCTCTCACGGAACTTTGCCGACCGGATGAGGAACAGGTGCTTCTTCTTGTTGGACGTGATAATGACGTTGTTCTTGTACTTGCCCTCCTCGCGCGTGCCGTCCTTGAAGGTGGTGACGCCGTAGCCGTACTTTTTGTTGTTGTACCATTCGCCCTCGTATTTGAGACCGTCGGAGCGCTCGCAGACGCCGTAACCGACGCGCCGGTCGTTTTTCCACTCGCCCATGTAGGTTTCCGTGGTGCTGCTGTCCAGCTGCTCGTCCTGGCAACGATAACATCGGCAGTCAGTACACAACAAAGAGTCAGTGGCCAGCGATTGCTGCTACCGGCCGCGACATGCACTGAGGCTGCTCAATTCGCTAAGCGTACCTTTTCACAGTTTTACTTGTAATAATTTTCTCGATTTGCATGGATGGGTGGGTGAGGCACTGAGACACTGAGACACTGAGATTTACAGAATGTAACTACTAACTTGTAAGCAAAAAACCATCCTCCGTCCGTCCAAATTCTCTATGGGACGCATGCTACGTCCATCCACGGGATGCCTGCGCTGGTAGTCTGTGCCGCCGTACACGACTGTATTGCGGCACAGTCTATCAGCAGACATCGCTCGCTGGTGGCTCAGTAGGACCGCATATTCGATAGCTGACCATATGGGAGACGAAACTGATCGAATCATTGAATCAACGTGGGAGGGAGAGGGAGGGTGAAAAGAAACTCAGATCTACTTATTTGGTGCACAGCGCCAACCGCACACGATCGATAAGATTTGCCCTGCATTCAGCTTGATGCTTGACGGTATTTCTCATTAGACACGGGCGTTTTCTCATCTGCCGATCATCCCTCACCTTACTTTTTCTATTCTTAGCAACAGATTAGACACCGGTCTTGTGCGGTCACGCCAGGTTTGGTCGTGTTCCTATCCCGTCTCTTACCACCTTGTCACGCAAGCGCCGTGCTCGTCCACAAAAAACTGAATTGTGCATAAGCAAACGTTGACGGATAGGCGCTGTCATATTCCAGTCAGCGATAGATCGAATATGGATAGGACATGTATACTAATGCATCACTCCATGCACAATTGAACAACCATTCCTGGTCGTCTGCGATGGAGGACATTCTGTCCGGCTCATAGTGCATGGGAAGACCTATAGTTGCTGAAAACATCACTTAAATAAAAGGTAGACGGATATACACAGATGAATGTATATCCTGATAGGGTAGATTAATGAGCACTCAACTCCTGAAAAAGCATAAGTAAACTTTCGAACTCAATAAATGATAGGTAATTACCTACTGCATAAATACCTGATTCCCAAGAAGTCACAAATCAGCCAAACATCAACATTGTTCATTTCAAAATCGTTTCATTTAATGTATAAATTTCGACTCCACAAACAACGATGATCACCTGCATTACTTTCCCTTGGCTATGGTCCTGTAAACCAAACACCGACTGACCTCCACGACGAAGCTGCCGTTGGACTCTGTGTGGAAGCTGCCGTTGGTCATGTTGGACTTTGCCGAGTCGGTGGACATCCAGGAGACGCTGCTGTTGGTGGAGCGGATGCTGCTGCCGGTGCCGCGCTTCTCCAGGTCGCCCGTGCTGCGCTGTTTCCGCAGCCGCAGGCCCTGAGGTGTTAGACGGGGGGAGGGGATGTCAGAGGAGGCTCAGAGACGGGCGGGGTTCAGGAGGCTCAGAGGCGGGGTCAGAGACGGGTGAGGAAGAGGGTTAGAGGCGGAAGAGGGCGTGGTTCAGAGGCGGGCGGAAATCAGACGGGGCGGGTGAGGGTGATGGGTGCCGACGCAGCGGTCATTAGGGTCGGGTTGGCCGCGCCCGGCGCCGTGTTCCGATCTCCATCGGCGGCCAGCGGCTGATCGGTGGCTCGCCAGGAGCGCGGCGGCCGCCTCGCCGGTCGCTGGGTCTGATTCGCGCGGCCGGCCCGAAATAGAGCCGCCGTGGGGCGCGGCGCGGCGGCCAGGGATCACATGGCGGCGACCTGCAGCGGCAGCAGGTCGCCGGCCCGTGGCCGAGACTGGTGACAGATATACCGGACAGAGCTGCCGTCACTCAGCCGGAGAGCGCACTGTTGGAGCTCAGCTGCAACGCTGCACGACTTCAAAACAGCACTGATAACGATACTTCATGTGCATTGGTTGAAATAAGTCACCAGGACGGACAGGCGCTAGATGGTGGCGAAACTAATGAATTTCTATCAGATGTCACGTAAACAAATAATCATAGATCATCCGGAAGACAAAATAATAAATGAGAACATGATGAATGGACAGAGTATCATAATGAAGCAGCTGCAGCGCTGAGTCATGATGAGCCAGAAATCCTACAATGTCTAAAATGTTCGAGCCCCTTGCACCCTACCATTCCAGTGTCTACTGACTCTCACCTGTAGAATATTCTTCCTGAGTGTGGTGCTCTTCTCGACGAGCGAGCCGCGGCGCGGTGGCGGCTCGTCGGAGCGCGCTTTGAGCACAAAGCCGCCGCGCGTGTCGGCCATGCGCCGGTCGCGCTCGGCGGTCGGCTCCCCGGCTCCCTCGCTTCGCAGCGAGGCCGACGACTGGTGGTGCGCCTTGCTCTTGGAGGAGCTGGCAGCGCCAAATGAAGAGGACGTGCGCACGCCGTAGCCATGCCGGAAGCCGCGCTGCCACTGGCCCTGGTATGTGCCTGTCGAGCCGAGAGACGGGTGGGGTCATATTGCACAGTGATGCAAATGGGGTCCACGAGTGGCCATAAATAGGTACCGAAAAGGCCCAAATTTCAAGTTCACCTAATCGAATAAAACGTAATATGGCCAGTCAGGCAAATGTTTGGGGTGTCTGAAAAGTATGATTTTCATAATTTTGTCAAAACCGGCCTCGTGTATGATTGTCAGAAGTCGTGACATTTTCTATGTCGTAAAATGACTGTCAGATGCTCGCAAGTTCACAGGCCGCTAGCGTGCGTTCATTTCATACAAATGGCAAAAATTATACATGACAATGATCCCCAAAGTCTGCTGCTTCTAATGCAGGGTCACAAATAGCCGTACCTTTTTTGGTTTGGCGTTGATTTCACTATTTGTCATCATGTTGCAATCGCTGTTTTTTACTAAAAAATATTTGCTTTCGTTTCACCTACAGCAGTTTACACAGTGTGTGCCCGTTAGTGCACCATACCATAGCATTCCCTAATCATTTCTGAGCCGCACTGTGAAAAAATTAAGGCGCTAGCACAGGGCTGACCGGCGCTACTAAGGTTTTCGTCCGTTGCGGTCGGCTGCCGCGGTGGGCGGGCGGCCGCGCCGCGGGCGGGCGGCCACAGCGGGGGTTCGCCGTTGCATCCCTCTCCTGTTCCTGAACGAAGTGTCCTAGCGCCTTGCAATAAAAACCAACGGATTGCCCTTGACAAGATCTCGCGAGTGAGCATATTACTTTTGACTTAAGGTCAATATTTGACCTACTTATAGCAGGTCAAAGTCAAACGTCTGTCGAGATTGCAATCCGCGGTGAAAGCAATCCGCCCCGACCGCGGCACCGGACCGCGCCGGACAAAAACTTCAATAGCGCCGGTCTGCCCTGTGCTAGCGCCTTAATTCTTTCACGGTGTGGCTTAGAAATGATTAGGGAATGCTATAGTATGGTGCACTAACGGGCACACACTGTGTTAGCTGCTGTAGGTGAAAAGAAAGCAAATATTTTTCACTAAAAAATTGTTATTGCAACATGATGACAGATGATTAGATCAGCGCCAAACGAAAAGAGATACGGCTTTTTGTGACCCAGCATGAGAAGCAGCAGGCCTTAGGGATCATTGCCATGTATAATTTTTGTAGTTTGTATTAAATGAACGCATGCTAGCGGCGTTTGAACTTGCAAGTATCTGACAGCCATTTTACGACATAGAAAATGTCACGACTTCTGACAATCATACACAAGGCCGGTTTTGACAAAAACATGAAAGCCATGAGATTTCAGATGCACCAAACATTTCTTTCGTTAGCCATATCGCGATTTACTCGGTTTGGTAAACTTGACTTTTTGGTATTTATGGCCACTCGTGAACCCCATTTGCATCACTGTGTATTGGTGGGCTGCTAAAGAAGCAATTTATTAAGGTTGATGTGTGAATATAAATGAATGGAAAGCGTTGCTGAAAGAGAGTGATGCATCTGCATTCTACACCTAACTTCATTGAAACTAAATCTGGTGTAAGTTTGCAAGTAATTCACGGTAACAATGCATGGGAGGCATCACATTTTTCCGTTTAATGAAGTGCTGACCAATGTTAATCTCCGCATCATAGCCGGCAATCCGTTCTCCAGTCAACATTGCCGCTGTTGATACCTGATGGTTGCCACACAACTTTTCCCTTTCCCGACATGTGCTCATTTGTACCCCGTGGTATGCTCCCGTGACAGAGCTCACACACACAGGGACCGTTTCATAACGTACCACCCAGTCGTGCTTGTCATTATCGCGCGCATGACCGGTCGTCGCTCGTCTCCCATAAAGCGTCATGTTTCCTGTGACCGTGTGAGTGGCGGCGATGCGATGGCCCTCGCCGACCCCGATCCCGGACAACCCAACCAAACAGAGCCCTGTGACCGCGCCGCCGCACACTGGTCGGAAACGCCCTCACGAGAGGCCACGGGCGATTCCGGAGTTTCGGATTATTTTTTATATAGATCGATTTGAAATTGATCAAATTATTATACTTAGGCCAAAAAAACTAATCCGGGTGACCAAAAATAGCTGTAATCAGCCCCCGAAGATGGGGTATCCCAGAACTCGGAAACTGACGCGGAGCAAGAGGTTTCTTGAGCCGGATATTCAGAGTCTTATTGCTGATAGACACCAAATTGAAATCCCACATATTATGCATCAAAATGTTCGTTATGAAGTTGCCGACTGGTCAGTGCAAAGTTTTTGGTATACTTTTTCCCTGACTAAGATGTACTATAGCTTTTTTATGAAGGCTCTCCTACAGTGATTCTGGAATATAACTGCAAAGTTTAGGTAAGGAAACAACAGGTAGTCCCATCTAGTTCCACTCTGATTTTTTGTGAGATGAAGTAGGATTTAAATCTATACCAGGGCAACATAAAAGCTAACTGCGCATATTTGCGCAAAATTTGCAGGAGCCGCTCTTCCTACCCAACTACCGCCCGCCCCGCCCCAGTTTCGGCTCGGTCGCCGCGCCCGGCTTACGCTGACCTGTGTGGCCTGCACGCATCCATGCGTAGTTGACTGGTCATTAAAAACAGATGCGCTTGAGTTTATGAATTTTGTGAAAAGCGCGTTTTATGTATGCATGCATTTATGTATGTATTGACATCAAAAGCCTTCCACATATTGCGTGGCGATTACGGCTTGCATTTAGAGAGCCTTGCTATTGACAACCATCACTCGGCTGAAGAAAGTGGAAATTGAAACCTTCGTGAATATAAGACGCTGCAAATATAGGACACCTGTCACTGAAGTCGGGTTACCTTGGGCCGTCTTTTTATATTAGATCACAATTCCGGTATTTAACCCTGGCCGGACTGATTGGTTTTCTACATTGACCGGGGAGTGTTGGTACAACTCCCTCGCCGTTTCGCCTCTAATTGAGCTAGAGCCTCGCGGAAAAAACAAGCTTGTGTCCCGTTATAAGACGCAAAAATTAGGTACTACCCGATTTTAAGGTCTTAGGTCAGCCAGTGACCTCTTAGGTCAGGTAAGTGCCACAAGGCACGGGCTCGGTTTTAGGTTAATTACTTTGCCAAAAATGGTCGCACTGCCGCGATTTTGGCATAATCGTGTTTGTCTAGCTCAGGCGCGTTGAATGCTATACTTGGTGTTCGGGTGAAGTCAACTTAACCCTCGCCGGCACAGGCCATTTTGCGTCCTTCGACGGCACAAGGGGGAGGGGTGGTACGACCCCCCTCGCGTTTGGCCCCTGATCGAGCTAGAGCCTCGCGGAAAAAACGAGCGTGTTGCCCGTCACGAGAGGAAGCCGACGATACCCAACTTTAAGGTCCTAGGTCATCGGGTGACCTTCCAGGTCAGGTCAATGACCCGAAAACCGGGAAAATCGGGACCTGTTAGAAAGTTGTAAATTGTGGCTGCTATGTGGTTTTCCGGGGTGCTGATCACGAATATCGTATTAGTTTTGATCAGAGATGATGTCTTTAAGCATTTAGACCAGGTTGGGTCAGGTCAGGTCAGGTCAACCGGTAGGGGTTGCGACGGGTATTCGTAATACGTGTCAACCGCCTCTGACAGCTTCGTAACATTATACGAAGGCGCCAAAACTACTTCGTAAATGTTCAAATGGTTGCTAAATTAGAATTCAGCTCAAAAACTAGCCTAGAAACATGTAAAACTCGAAAAAGTGAACCGAGGTCACCCGAGGTCACCAAAGGTCAATGACCTGACCTTCAGGTGACCTTGACACCCATCCTAATGTATGGGAGCAACATCAAATCACATGTTTGAACGTTTGAAACCACGAAAAGCTTGCAAACGCGCGGCTAATGCGAGCCGATATACGCCGAATCGCGATTTCGGCCAAACATGGTCACGGAAAAGAGGTCACAGGTCAAATGTCATTGGGGTCAGGGTCATGAAATTTTCAGGGTAGGTGTAAAATTGATCAATGCGATGGTACTGAAAGTTTCGTCGCGATCGGCCGCTTTTTACGCGAGTTATTCGCGAAAAACCTTAGGGGGGTTGCATCATCAACCTCGGGTCAAGGTCAGGTCGGAGCCCCTCAGGTCACGAAAATGGTTGAAGGAGGTCATATCGCATATCATTCGATTCGGCAGGTCTTCCTGAGTCCAATGGTGGCTTTCCCGACTCTCTAGCTCCATCTGATCAGGAGTTATTGACGAACAACTTACATGGCCTTAGTGACGTCATAAATGACGTCACGCAAAGTCAACAATGCTAAAGTCAAGCACTGGACCTTGCAAGGAGTGCATGAAACCATTCCCGGTGCCGGAATAGCAGCTCCCAATTTCCCTTGTTGACTTAAAGTGGTGCTAGATCCTGTATTATACTCAATTATGACGTCATAACTTAACAGATTCACGTCATATATTTAGTGCTTGACATCCAAATGATAGCTTACATATGACAGAGAAGGTATGCAAAGTTTTATGAAGTTTGCTTCACTAGTTGTGGAATAACAAGCAAAAAACTTTTGCGGAAAGGCCGCTGGCCTCTCGCTGGAGCGTTTCCGACCAGTGTGCGCCGCCGCCGTCCAAGGTCACCCAAGGTCGCGGAGGCCATACAAGGCCGGGGCGAGGAACGTCGGGTCGCCGCGTGCGCCGCGCCTCAGGCGGCCCGTGACCGGTGACCGTTCGCGGCGGCGGCACAGAGTTCGAGGATGGGTCCCACACGGCATTGCGGGTGGCACAGGAGGGACAGGAGGGATAGTGTAGGGACAGTGTTCTTTGTCTTTGGCTTTAGTTGTTTAGGTACTGCTCTTCGGACCTAACAGTGTTCATAAGTCGCTGTTTATCGTAAATACAAGGGTAATACCGAGTTTTCCAAGGCCAGGAAGGGTGACACGCAAAGGGTTACACGAAACCAGAGTGGGCCATAAAAGGTCAGGACAAGTCACTTTAGAGATCAGTCTTAGTGAAAAAGGACCAGGCCAGGCCACAAGGATTCAGAATGGGACGCACTGGATCATGGCTGGTCACACAGGCTAAAAAACCGCCGTGCGGGAGCTGGTCGGTCATACTGGAAATCGATCAGGTCATGGGGTGGGACGTGGGTAGGATAGGTGCAGAACCAGCCAAAGTTCCAGGAGCAGCGCGGAAGGTGAAATAAGGACAAGGCTCGGTCACGGCGCCGAAGGCGGCACCTGATAGGCTGGTCCCAACCGCCGTTCGCCGGGTCGATGCCGGAAACGACGCCCTCGGAATATTTATAGGGTATGAGGGGACTTATGGTGGAGACAATTAACTGTCAGGGCTGTTCAGCGGTGAAAATTTACCACAAAAGCTCGCTAAAGACAACTAGCCTGGTTTTATGTCGGGTCATCAAGTGTTGTCCCGCGAATTACGGCCATAGCTTGTGACGTTTATTCGGTGTGCCCCGTCAAATTGTAGCGCTCGGCGGCGGCGACACCGACGCGTGACCATTGCACCTAACGCTCATCGAGCAGTTTGGAGCCAACACTAACACAACTTTCACCACGGTGATTTCGACCTTCGATCCTAACTCGTCTAGCCTCAACAACGGCAATTTCGAAGTTACAGCGCCTCATTTTGCACACAGAAGCCTAATCGCTGTCACATAATGGGGTGTTCCACGCTGTTTGAAATGAATCGGATGCCCTCAGGCAGACGACCGAGACAGAACGACAGAGTTATATGATAATACAGTCTTTCTGAATCGGCAGATCGCAGGACAGGACCTACACACGAAGTAGATGCCGATTCAGTGTAGTGATTCCGCCACAGCGGTGTCTGCACTGGGGTGAGATAGGGTAGAGAAGGCGCCCAATATGCCGTCCCGTCGGCCGGCGGGGTGGGAAGGGGGAGCGGTCGCCCAGTATGCCGTCCCATCGGTCGGCGGGGTGGGGAGGGGAGGGAGGAGCGGTCGCCCAGTATGCCGTCCCATCGGTCGGTGGGCGGGTCGCCCTGGCCCGCCGCCAGGTCGGGGCATGCCTCTGCGGACAGTGACTGTGAGTCAGCCGGACCCCGCTCTCCATCACTGGCGTCCCACCGTTACATCATCCTCTACCATTCCACCGTTCCGCCATTCTACCGTTCAACCGTCTCATCGTATCACTACTGTTCCGCCGTCCACCGCCATATCGTTCTCCGCCGTTCCACCACTACATCGTCTTCCACCGTTCTACCGTTCGTTTAGCACTCTCGCTGCTCTGCCGTCCAACCGTTAGATCGTCCCAGCGTCACACTGTCCTCCTGTCTCCCGTCGCACCGTAACATTGTTCCGCCACCGTTCCACCGTCCAGCCGCTCTTACCGTCCCACTATTCCACCGTCCAGCCGCTCTTACTGTCCCACTATTCCACCGTCCAGCCGCTCTTACCGTCCCACTATTCCACCGTCCAGCCGCTCTTACCGTCCCACTATTCCACCGTCCAGCCGCTCTTACCGTCCCACTATTCCACCGTCCAGCCGCTCTTACCGTCCCACTATTCCACCGTCCAGCCACTCTTACCGTCCCACTATATTCCACCGTCTCACCCATAACGTCTAACTACCGTCTTATCTACTATGCCGTCCCGTCTTCTTACAAGTGAACCTCTATCCTCTGAGCACCGTCTCGCACAGTTTCAGCTACGGCGTTGCGAGTTGGACCATTTACATGACCATTTAACAGTCATGCGTAGCCGATAGATGAACTTAGCTGTGCTGTGGTAGATGTATAGCATTTGAGCTGTCAACGCAGAACTCGCAACAGACATTTGCTAAGCAGCGATGCATGCTGCATTTCCTGTCTGCGGCAGCTGGCAGATATATGGTCGCCTTCATTCAGACTGCGCCTTCATTTGGATCCATTCAGACTGTCACCGTCTAGCGATTAGGAGAAACGCGACATCAATTCAGTAACGTCACATGGGAAACATTATTAAGCGCGGCAGTCTAGAAGCCACATTCCGGATATTGCAGTCGCGTGCAGCAAAAAGTGAAGGTAACTTCCCAATCTCCGCTATCACGCTGTACTGTGTATCAGTTTAGTGCATTCCTTCCGGGAAGGTGGGGCCGATTGTGCCAAATTGGCAGCGCTCGCGGGTCGCCCCGCCGGCCCGGCCAGCCAGCCTCCGACCGGTGCCAGGTGTCCAGCATTGGCCGCCGAATACCTCAGCCCGCTTGAAAACAAGCCAAACACACCACTGTTCGCGTCTCAGCGCCCATCATCACAGCAGTAACGGCTTCGATGGCTCTTTGTTAGTCGAATACCGCAGGCACCCATCTCGTTATGCAGCACAATGTATGTAGGTAATCTGTAATGTCAGTTCCGGCATGTATGCAGGAACGCCGTGAGATGGCACGTCCGTTTTCCAATTTTCCGCAGAACTTTAGTGTATTACATGGGACGAATGGGCTTGGAATGACGCAGTGCGGCTGCACCCGGCGCCTCTGTCTCGAGGGGACGGGGGCTGGACCAACCGACACCCATTCTCTCCTTCCAGACAGTTCTCCGCGGTCACGAGGCGGGGCGGCGCCACATATAAAATATAGCTGGGATGGACCCCAGTGAGACTGACATCGCAGGACGCTGCTATCCACTACAAAGACACCGATACTGGCGCTGCAAGCACCGATACTGACGCTCACACGAGCACCGATACCGACACAACTACTGACACTGACACTGACACTAACACCACTGACATTGGCTAGGACTCGGTCATTACAAGAACAAAGGTTTTGACACTGACACCAACACCAACACCGGCATCAGCAAGAATGACGGTTATGACAACGACATTGACACCGCAACAACGATATCTGTCGGTCGTCACTTACACCGGCATTAGCATGAACAATGACTTTGACACCTACACGAACACCAACACTGACACTGCAGTAGATACAGGCACGGACGCACCAAGACACCCGACACCGTAAATGTAGCCGAGATCGACGTCAATGCTGACACCGATACCAGCACCGGAACACTAATGGCGGTGCCGGCGATATTGACACCGGCATCGATCCTGCTGCCCGCGCCTCCCCCCGGGTGACTTTGGAGGCTGGAGCCCTAGCTGGAGGGCAGATAGACAGAGAGACAGACAGACAGACAGACAGACAGAATAGATAGACTAGAGTTACTGATGAACAGACTAACAAACATTTTAACTATGACACACAAACAAAAATTTCCCGTGCAATACCTTCGGGGACAAGAAAGCGAACCGGATTGCCGGAAGTTCACTCAGCATTATGCTTGTAAAAAAAAACTTCACCATGCAGCCTGGCTGCATAGCACATGCACAGCGTCGCAATGCAGCAATACGGCCTGATTGCGGGCCACTGTTTCCCCGCCGCCCTTCCAGGGACTGTCAGGGGGAAGGCTGCCAGGCGGTACAGCAGCGGTCCCCTCTGGTGTCTGTCTGACGCCGATCGCATCTGGCAGCGGTGGGACAGCCGGCTGATCACAGATGGTCAGCTGGCCCCGAATGGATACTGACAGTGGACAATGGACAGAGTGGACAATAGACATTGGACAGGAGTTACGTGGTGAGGGTGTTCATTGTCCAATGTCACGATCAAAATAGGCGCTGGTCGAAGTGATTACAAGACCTATTGCAGTTTTCATTTTAAAATTTATCTCGTGGCTAGTAGCAATATCGATACCGACGTGTTGACACTACGCTGCAAAACAATGTTGCCACTTAATCTGCACTACCAATGACTTTATTGAGACCCACCAGGCTTGACCGGGACACACTGAGCCAGCTAAGACCCACCTGAGTTCACTGGGTTGGGACCCTCCTGGCCCGTGCGGGACCCACCTGAGTTCACTAGGACCCTCCTGGCCCGTGCGGGACCCACCTGAGTTCACTGGGTCACTCCTGGCCCGTGGGACCCACCTGAGTCTGCGTACGTCTCGGAGCCGTAGCCGTCCTGCAGGCCGTTGGCCCAGGTGCCCTCGTATTTGGCCGACGAGGTGGTCGACTGGCGCACGCCGTAGCGGCCCTTGAAGCCCTGCGTCCACTCGCCGCGGTAGAGCCATCGGCCGCGTGTTTCCACACCCAGACCGTGGCGCCGCCCGTTTTGCCAGTGACCCTCGTACGTGCTGCCGCTGAAACACAGAGGTCACAGGTCAGCAACAGGGGTGTAGGGCGGAGCTGGTCAGCACAGGTCCACTGAGGTCAACACAGGTCAGACCACGTCAGCGTGAGGTTATCAGGGTCATTATGTCAGAGTCAGAAGGATCGACGGAATTCAAGGTCTATACCCCGGTGGCGCAGCCAAGAGTACCGGGGGAGAATGATTACGGAAGAAGCTTTGAATGTGATAACATTTACGAAAAATTATCATGAAGGCTCTAATAAAGTGAAAAACGGTTAGGGAATTCCACGCCAGTAAGATGCGTTCAACGTCTCGTTGGATGTCTAATGGAAGCGCGTCTATAGCATAATCCATAAACACATCTTGTCCTCCCCAATTCCGTCTACAAATGCTCGGTGCCGTCTCAATTTATGGACATCGACTTGGAAACTACGCGCAGCCTTCAACACAAATGCGTCACAAACACCCAATTTATGCATCCAGCCCTATGACGATTAGCAGATCATTATTGTAATGATGTCTACCTTTGACATTACTGTTGCATCATACGACTGAATCCGATGTGCGACACACAGGTGCCGGACGTTGTGTGAGTAGGTAGAATACCCGGACGCTAATGACTCAGTACATACAGCAGATATATAGGCACGGCAGAGTTATAACAGGAGTTCGATGTCGATTGTTGTAAGAGTGTCGTAATAAAATTGATCTAGTAGTCGTTTCCAAGTGGTAATGCCCTCCATTGTACACGCAGAAAATACCTGCAAGCTCCGTGGAGCAAATGTTAATAGTTTTGGACAATTTATGATGTAATACCACCGGATGTTTGCACTATGCGGGCCTGACGAATGCGATATATTACGCGTCGTCGTCAGCACGTGTGTATATAAAGTCATTGCCAGCTCTTAGCAGTCAAGAACACAGACAGCAGCGCTGCTAGCTCAACGTTCTTCCGATACTCACAGGAACCAACCGAAGTTCCGTGACCATTGTGTTCTCTGAATCCGTGTCTGAGCTTTTCCACCCTGAGCCATATCACTAGCATGCGAGCACACAACCCAGTGCAGTGAGTAAGTGGCTCAGGTCAAAGGGGACGGCTCAACCGAGCTCAGTCCAGCGAATAGATGGCCCAGTCCAGCATCTACATAAACGGCTCAGTCCGGCGGGTTGGCAATTCAGTCCAGCAAATGGCCGGCTCCGTCCGGTGAGCAAGCGACTCAGTCCAGCGAGAAAATGGCTCAGTCCAGCAAGCAGACCATTCAAATGTAAGCAAGTCTCACTGCCAGCGAGCTGCCTGACCAGACCAACAAGCAGACTCGTCAACAGGCAAGCAGACACTCCAGCCCGACAGGAGAATCGTTTAGTTTGGTAAACAAACTGTCCAATGCCCAGCCTGACAATCGCCGCCCTGTCACGCCCCTTGAGTCCGGAGTCTAAAGACAATAGCGGCTCGGGGCCGGTCCAGAATCCGGCCCCGGGCCTGGCGGCCCCGGTGGGACCGGCGCCCGCCGACCGGCCGGCCCGGCCAACCCAAACAGACCTGGCCCGGTGACCTATCGCCGATGGCACCGCTTAGAGTTCGCAGAAGGACAGGTAAACCAAGAAAATATTTTTGGAGAGACACTACACGCTACTATTTTATGTTTTTCTTTTCTTTTTTCTTTTTTGCTTTTTGTTTTTGGTGGGGGATAATACAGCTTACATAGTAAAAAGACGACCGTAACGGGACACATGTATGTATATATTCGTTGGCGATAAGTCTTGCGCCTTTCGACGAATTCAGGATTTGGTAGACACGTCCACGTGGCAGGCACATTTTAACATTCCACAGCCTAAAACTTTGTGCAAAAGTACTTCAGAAGCCTGAATCATTTTCTGAAAATGTACGAGTTCAAGGAAAAGCCGCGTAATATTCATCAAGCAAAAGAAGACGACTAAGAGATCAAAGTCAGCTGGAGTTGCAATAACACTGCTGCTGTTCAAGCCCTATGAAAATACGCGTAATCCTGGGAATGTCCGAGACCCGGTCCGGGAAAAGAGTTTCCCGCTACTGCAATCAAGGCGTACACTATTGCTTATTCCGCCCTGCGCTGCGAGTGTGTGCATCCTAGTAAATGAGGGTATAGAGTCGGAGAACTCGGGTCCGAAGTCGTGACCGGCTCTACACGGTCGAACGGCTTTCCTGATCTGTGATTGTTTAGAGACGGATAACCTGACATATACACGATGCCGAGTGTCGACTATTTAAAAGGCGCAAAATATAAACATCCCGCAGCCTTCTATGCATTACCCCAGTTTGATTCCAGTGACCCGTGCTCGATTTCCGGTCTGGTCCGTTTTACCGCTGAGTCCTGTGGCTCACCAGTTTCTGGAAACAGAGAGCGCCTGTTTGGTGTTAGGACTTCGTTTATGTGATTATGGTTCTTCGCAACCAGCCATCCATCCGGATATCAGGCAGCCTTCCGCTATTCTCACACAGCACAAGACTTGCCCTTGTGCTCACGTGACCTATGACATCACCCCTGTCTGTCCCGGCTCAAACCACCAAGCACGCCGCAGTCCGCCGAGCTCATTAATATTGCGGGGCACGCTGTCCGACCACGGAGCTTAGCGCGGTTAGTGAGGCCCTCGACTTTTGTCGTTTCCGGGAAACGAGACCCGCCCGCAGGCCTGCGGGACTTTACTGGTCGGGTGCCGCGGCTGGGGTCTGTGACAGATACACCGTACTTTTAACAGCGGCAGTGGGAGCAGTGTTGAACGTTAGGTACTGGCTTCCATTGCCTTTACATCATTGTGCCGGGTGCATTGCGAGCACAAGTTGGTACGGTTTTGCTGGTAAAACAAAGAGTGGGGCGATATTTTCTGGCACCACGAAATAAATTAAAACAACTTGGTGTTTTTTCTAAGCATTATCTAATGCCTACCATTCTGTGTATATTACGTCGTGAGCTTCTATCGCTTTGTTACATAATCTTCATCAACCACGATCGAACTGCAAGAAGGATACTGGTAAATAAGTTCGTAATTTTTACCGTTTATATTTCTGGCAGCAACTCCTAAGGATGAACTTCGGTGAGTCCTATAACGGCAAAAACCGCCACAGATTCCGGCCGCTGACTAATTCATTTTACCGTTCCCGTTCCTTGACCAGATGTTTTTCCAACGTTGGAGAGCCCTCGGACTGCGGAGGGAAGAGTGACGACCTGCTCCGTTTGCCCGTCCGTCGGCTGCGTGACCTTGGAGGGTGGAGCTGACGGGGTCAGTCGGTACGGTACGGCTTCCTGGTTGTTGGGGGCGACCTTTTGTTCCCCGGCCGCAGCCCGCTAAGCCGCAGTGCAACACCGACCGCGGGGTCGAGTAATGGTGCAAAGAAATGCACGAATAAAGGACAAATGGGGACGGAATTCAGCCCGCAGTAGGGCTAGCGATGACTGACAGTAAGAGGCTGAACACTGAAGCTGACGCTGACGCTGAGCGCTGAGACTGAGCCAGAAAGCGAGCAAAGACCTACTGGCTTAGGCATGTAGTCGAGGAACAAAATAGGAATAAAAAATCATTCCCAGACATAAGAAGAAACTCGTCGGCTTACTTTTTGTTGAAAGCGCAGAAATACTTCTAAAATAAAGCCGTTTATCCGTCTGATGCGCAGGATTGTAGCGCCTAGGTTTATTATAATGCAATTGATTATGTTGCAATTGTGTGTTGGTGCTCTCATCATCCCAGCATTACGCAAACGCATACCAAAGCGGAATAACCTCAGCTTCATCTGCCTCTAGCGCAATTATACCCCCCTTGTGCTACACCGCCACCCTCAGCCCACCCTGCCAGCACCGCTCCTGCGGCCTCTGGTCGCGTTACAGTCCCCTCTGACCAACTCCGTGCAGATGGACCGCCCGTTCCGGCCGCTTGACGAGCTCCTCTCACTTCCGGGTTGAGGAGAGGGAGGAGGCGGCACCGGCGCCAATCACCACCGGCGCTCTGCCCGGTGCTCCGTCCCTCTGCCTGCCGCTCCGCCGCTCTACCTCAGCAGCCGACAGACAGTCTATATCCGAGCTGTCAGCGCTTGTCAAATACGCGTTCCGTTCTGAAGAGGGGTAGGATATGTCCGTCTGGGATATGGAGGGAGACTGTCTGGGCAGCCGGCAGGTACCGATTAAAATAGGCGCAGATTACCTACCACAAACGCAAAAGAAAGAAATGTGGCTCGTCAACAGTTCGCATCTACTGAGCTAATCTGGGTGCCTTTATGAATGCACATATCTGCCTGTACTTGCAAGAGATAAGATAATATGTATTTCTTGTAATCCGAGTATGACCGATGCTCAAATCCGAGCGCCGTACATAACATAGGTATAATTGAATGCTTGGTCATGCTCGGCAAAATTAAGTCTGCTTAACTTCCCTCAAGCATGAACAGAAGTTACGACATTTTCTCATCGGAACCATGGTTCATGTAGTTTATCCAGCACTTGGGGAAAGTTGCGTGTTTAAGGCTGTTGAATGAATACAAAATATCTTGCCGACTAACTTTGCAAAAGAGAAAGATAGCAAACGGCTTCCTTCAAATTTTATCCGATTCATCGAAGTTTTGACTACGCATTTCCAGGTACCAAGGCTTTACTTCCTACATTCTCTAGTCTCTGTGCTGAAAGAAAAATCGATTCAGCTGATAGCTCCCTCAGCAACCCAATCCACCACAAGATAAGAATCTGACCCATGCGCCTCCTCGCACCAGAAGATGCGTCTGTCCTGGCTCCCGCAGCCAAGTCATCAGCGAACCTATTTTTCTTCCATCTGTCTCCAATGATCCCTAATTATCTGCCAGATGACCGTATCCCCAGCAGCTGACTCGCTCCCCCACCACCTGACCCGTGCGCCATCAGCTGTGACCCAGTTGGGCCTCCTCAGGCGGGGGGGGGGGGTGGGGTGTTACGTCGGTCGATGTGTGGGCGCACAAACCGACCTCATACCGACACGACAGCCGCGGCGGGCCGTGGCCAACTGACTGACCGGCGGTGGATCACTGACCGGCCGCTGACGGCAGCGAGCGGGATGCACGGCTCGGCAATCCGGCACCGATATCACATGATAGTGGCCAAATAATTATTTTCAGATGTTGAACTTGAATAATAACCGAGCGATTTAACCAGTCACTTGTAGTTGATCGATTGTAACCAGTTAAGTATAACCGGCTGATTATTACCGGTGAGTTGTAAATGAAAGTTGTAAATGGTTAGTTGTAACTGGTCGACTATAACCAGTCAGCTATAACCGGTAGTTATAATTGGTATGTTATAACCAGTCAATCAAGACTGGTCGATTATAACTAGACGGTCGGTCAAAACAGTTCAGCTATAGCCGGTCAAGTATCCCGCGCACCGACGGGGGGGGGGCGGATATCGGCCCCCCCCTGAGGTTTTTCGTAGATAGCGGAAAAACCGCGCCGCGAAATTTGGTACGACTATTCTCTCATCAATTTTACACATTGTGTGCAAGTTTGAATCTCCTTACTTTTAAGGTCCGGTCACCAGGTCACTTTGAATGACCCAACCTCAAGTCACTTTTTTGCAACTTTGTCACCGTGCCAGAGCTACAGTATGTAGATGTCGGAGGCCTTTGAAAGTCGCAGGATGTTATGAGGTCATTAGTAGCTACAATTTGTATATCTCGGAATTTTGATATCGATGACCTAAGGTCAGGTCAATTTGGCGACCTCCCCATTATAAGTCAATGGGGGAAAATCAACTCCCTGTTTTCGGATGATCTCATTGTATTCAGCTCGTTAAGGCGCATCGAATGATATACATGATGACCTCGAGGTCACGTGACCCGAGGTCAACCTTTGACCTTGACCTTTCTAGGTCAGCATTTATATCATTCGATGTGGATTGACGAGAGGATCACGATGATGCCCTTAGTTTGTTCTTATCTTGACTGGTTCAAAAGTTATTCGAGAAAAAAAAAACTATCTCCATATCGAGTGCCACCATTTTGACTTTTTTGACCCTTGTGACGTCATCTTTGACCTGACCTGAAAATGGCCTTTGTAAAAATTGTATACCTTGTTCGTGCGTATCCCATGCCGTTTACCGCTTGTCGCTATCTTGTTTCGTTCTCGAGATCTCAGAGGGGGGGGGGCGGTCATCCGCCCCCCCCCGTCGGTTCTAAGTTGGCGCAGACCCCCGTCGGTGCGCGGGTTATAACAGGTCGGTTGTAGCCGGTCAGTTGTACCTAACCGGTCAAATATGACCATAGTCATCTATGTGGGTTTGTAAGTTTTGTAAAAGCTCTGCTATATGCAATGAATTCACATTTCTGTCCCAAGGAACTACTGAAACTTGAAAGTATCCATTCCAACGTGAATTGCACGCTATCATATACTAAGGCCTTCCTGCCATCAGTTTTACCTATTTTCGCAGCTGCATATGTAAACTATTGATCGGCCGATTCAGGGTCAAAGTAACAGCGCTCCCGGCACCGACCTAGTTGCCGGAGCAGAGTGAGTCCCCTCGCTCGATCGTCTCGGTGGGGGGCCTTTCCAGTGCCCTGCAGCTGTGACCTTGACCCGAATATCGAGAGAACGGTGTGCAGTGTGCACCCTCGGGGTCGAGCGACCCCGGTACACGAGTCCTTTGAGCAGCGTCCGACGACTGGCAGTTTCAACATCAAAGGTGCCGCGCTGCCCCTGAGTTGCGATTTGCTCTGACACTCCGTCGCTCAAGTCGGCCACTCCGGGCTAAACACATCGCGCTGTTTAGTTAATGTTTTAGTAGCGTACATGAGTTGTTGCATAATTTATGTTCCAGACGAATAGCATGCAAAGTAAATGCTGAGTTCTGATTTTTGCACAAGTATTAGTGATTTTAATTTGTTAAGTAGATCTGTATTTTACAGCAAATGTTGCTGTACCTAGAAGACACCTGCTGTGATGCACTTCGAGACCTTTGGCAGCGATTGCGAAAAAATTAAGTTAAGTGCTTAGGCGACATTCCAACACACTCAATGTCACGGACGTCGCCAATTTGCCGTCTCGGAAACACTCGCTACAAAAACACGTCGCCTGTGCCGTGTCTGCAGTGTTTCTCTATCACTTCATCTGACTCAGCGCCGTGCCATCCGAGCGTCAACACACAACTCATCGCGTCTCAAACCGAGCGGCGAATGGCCAACTGAGTCCAAAAACCCCGCGAATCATCACTTGGCCCCTCTACCGGGCTGCTACCATGATAGCCGCGCCGCGCCGGGCGGCTGTTCCTCTCTGGAATTCAGCCGTTCCGACGTCATCACCGGCCACTGACGTCACCAGGCTCGCGGCCAGCTGCCGAGCCGTTCGTCACCGAGGGCTGGCCGCCGCTGTCCCCCGAGACGTGACGCGACACTAAGTGACGTGACGTGAGTCACGTGACGTCCCCCCTCGCCGTCGGCAAAAGAATGTCGCCGGTGATCATTCAGCGGCTCAAGAATTCAGCCTGGACTTGGGTGAAAAGGAGGATAAATGACGCATTTGGACGATGCTTTGTTCGCAGGAATTCGATTTTAAGCTAAGTGAGCCGAGGGGCCAGCTGATCCGCATGCGAACAACGGCACTACTGAGAAACGAACTTCGCCTACATCCGGGCCGAGACACGAAAACTATCGCCCATGTAAGATTCGAGCAGCATAATTTATCCTCCGCAGTCCGCAGTGCAGACCTTATTTTGCGGTAGAACGTTGAGGCAAGAGTTTCCACGAAGAAGCAAGCGCCGCATTTCATCCAATTAAGTGCCGGATCGGCGAGCCAGCGTGACGTGTGTCGTGGAAGCCGGAACGTTCGTCGATGAAACTGCAGGGCTCAACGGAAGCTCCGGCCCAGCCGTGCAGCTTACTCTGCTGTGGACCCCAGGCGAAGGGCAGACAGTGTCACCAAGGATGATCGCTTGTTCGCGTGTCACCGCTCGACTGGACACCCCACCTTTGATCCGGAACGGTTTCTACCACGACCGATTACAGTTTATCGCCCTCTGTTCTGTCCATTCCCACAACCCACGGGTCCATCGTCCACCCGTGGCACCCCGTCTAGGCCCCGGCGACCCGGGGGCGACCCGGGCCGAGTGCAGGGGTCTATTCTGAGGCCAGACTCCGTGCGCCAGCTGTGACACAAGCGGCGTCAGGTCGGCGGCTCGGCCGGTGCCAGAAACTTCGGAGGAGCACCAGCGCGGCACAATGGCGCAAGTCAGCTGGGCTAGCCAGTTAGACTCAGGTGCGGTCAGACGGTCAGACGGTCAGACAGTCAGACGGTCAGACGGTCAAAGAGTTAGAAGGTCAGACCACGGCCAGGTACGGTCACACGATCAGACTATCGGGTAACCGAACTTTTAGACGGTTACGATGGTCAGACTGTTGAGTAATAAGTCAGACGGTCAACTCATCAGTCAAATAGTCAGACAGATGGTCAGATGACCCAACAGTCAGGAAGTTGGACGGCTAGGTGGTCAGGTCAAACGATCAAATTGTCAGACTTCCAGACAGAAAGACGGTTTAGCCAACCCGAGACAGACCATCAGACAATAACAGCAGATGTGACAGTTGGAAGATGGGGCAACCGTTCTTAGTCCCGGGTGGCCGCGCGGCGGCACAGAGACAGATCAAAGTAGCGGCACGCACCGGCAGCCCCCGGGTACAGGTGTAGCAGCGCGACGGCACGTCGCATCGATCGTCCCCACGCCGCCGTCAGGTAAACATCGGTCGGCCGCCGCCGGCGGGCCACTCACCTGGGCCAGGTGTAGACGCCGGACACCTCGAAGCCGTAGTGCCACGAGCCCGAGTACTCGCCCTGCGCCTTGGGGCCAGTGCAGACGCCGTGGCCGTGCGCCTTGCCGTCCTCCCAGCCGCCGCAGTACGTGCCGCCGTCGTCAAAGTCGAACCGGCCGCCGTTGACCTGCGGCTTAGCCGTGGGCAGCGCCATGGCCTCCGGTGGCGGCTCGCTGCGCGCCGCGCCCGCTCACTCGCCGCCGCTCGGACGCTGTCGCACCGCCGCCGCCGCCGCCGCGGCCTCCGTCGACGTCGTCGGCAGCGGCGATCGATCGGCGCGTGCGCGCGCGCCGTCGCGTCGGAGATAGCCGGGCAACGGATGCCGTGGCGGCGGGCCGGGCGGCGTGCCAGCGCGGACGGAGGCGCCGCGTCGGGCCGCCAGCTCGCGACCGCCGGCGACCGGCGCGATGACGGTGCCGCGTCACGCCACGCGCGCCGGTGTGAGCCGTGGCGCGTCACACTGCCGTCACAGGAAGTCCCACCACGGTTGTCTGAGCTGTCGGGCTGACTTGTTAAGCAGTGTTCTGTACTAATTAGCACGCTTTTTGAGTAGAGTTTTCAGCTGCACGGTGCAAGCCCCTATTGCTACTTTCATTGCCTTTCAATTAGACAGGATCATTACCCCTCGGTTGAGCGTGATATCAGATTTAATATCGAACCAAAACACTGGCTAACTCAGTTATCGTGCGTTGCAGAGTTGCTGTGGACTCAGGGTAAACAAGTCGAGCAAACAGACGCGCTGTTGCTGATCATAGTAGAAATGTTTCGCACCAAACATACATACATACATACATACAGGGTGGGGCAGCATAATCGGGAATGCTTTTTGGGCTCTGATCATGAGTAGGCATGGCATTATTTTTATAGATTATATTATGGCAATGAAACGCCCAAAAGTTGTGCATCATCTGACATGACTACATCCATGAGCATGCAACTTCCTGGAAAAGAGCAGCAAAATAGTTCGACGGTGCTCCAAGTGCTTTGCGCGCGCCCATAGACACTAATGTTAAACAAGTAAAACAAGAACATTTTGTTTAAAACCCTGCAATTCCACGTAAAGGTTGCTGGGCAGGTCAACGTGTTATCACGGACGATAAGGATTGTGTGGGGATACTTAGGACAACAGGTTAACGTAATCGTCGTAAAATAACTCTTAGCAGAGGACATACAAGATGACTCACTTGAATATAAGGAAGAAGCACTTGAGCATATTAAAAAGAAACAATGTTCAAAACTTCAGCGACAAAAAATCTTATCACCGACTGGAATACGATAAAAAAGAATGGCATGCCATATAGGGGATTGTATCGAGAATATTCCAGCGGTCATGCAAAGTAAACATCCTGTTGGGGTGATGGACCTATGGGTGGTCTTCAAGGGAGGTGCACGTGGTGCACCCTACTTCATCGAGCCCGGATAAAATGAGCACCTCTGGTAAATACAACCGCACTCTGGCAGACTCACGTGGAGCCGTCGGAAGAGAGGATCACTGACGGTCCAAATCACGTCTTACGAGGACTCTGTCCGTGCTGGTACTGCAGTGAGGACGACATGTTATTGTGTAGGGCACCTCCACCTGAGATGAACCAAAAACTTCTGGTCCTTCAACTCCGCCGATTTAAATCCGACCAAATTCTTTACATGGAGCGTTTTTTGGTAGAAGTTTAATGAACAACTTATCATTAGTAAAAACAGTCTTCAGTGCAAGGTACGAAGCTGATGGGCGATCATGGACAAGCAGGAGGTTGCACGTGCATGCGCGTGCTTTTGGACCCGCCTTGAGAAGGTCATCGACGCCGAGGGCGGTCAAATAGGATGAGGGATAGGTAAAAGGTGACCGATTGATAGGATGTTGCTAAAATAGTGCTTGGAGCTATATTTTTAGATTCATGACCAAATAATCCCGTTTGATATTTATTCCCGATTATGCTGCCCCACCCTGTACATAAAGGTTTATTTGACCACGTGACAGTCAACGACTGGTAAAAAGGCCGTACATGAGCTGTGCAATGGTGGCACCACATGAAGAAGTGAAAAGCACCACAAAAATTAAAAACACAGTGCATTTCAAAAGAGCTCCGAACATATCTACGTGGGGATCACATCCTGTTCATTAGATCTATGAGTACAGGCACAGTGGACTTTTTATACCGCTCAGTTTTGGCCCGCGGTACGACAAACTTTCGCTGCCGGCGCAGAGGGCGCCTCACATTTGCCAGCTGCTCGCCCGGGTACAGTGGGTGGGCGGGGTTGGCGAGGATGTCGGCCGCCAGCTTGCAGAGGACAGCATCGCGACGCTCACTCAGAGTCTCGAGGTTGAGAAGCTGGCAGGCAGAGGCGTAGTCGGTGTAGTTTTCGTATCCTATCATGATTTTGCAAGCTCTTTTCTGAACTTGCTCGATTGCTTGTGCTTGTTGCTGTGTCAGTCCCGTGTGCCACAGTTGAGAGCAGTATTCCAGACATGGACGAATGAAGCTGATGTAGACGGCGCGGATATCGCTCAGATCTGCATGGAACTGACGGAGGACTGTGAGCATGAACAGCCTGCGAGAGGCGTTTTTTGTGATATGATTTGTATTTGCCGTCCACTTTAACCCACGAGCCGCTGGGGGGGGGCATAAAGTTGCCCCCCCTTTACGTTTTGTGAAATATCTCCGAAACCTGATGAGCTACGACCGTGAAACTTGGCATAGCTTCAAATGAATACCTAGGCAATATTTGAGGAAAGTTTGGTGGTTGTAGCATCTAAGATGACGTCACAGTGACGTCATAAAGTTTTGCCGTTTTCCGATATGGATCGTTTCTGATGACGCTGAGCATGAAACTCGACTGTAAATGAACTAGACAGCACCTGCTGTCATCCTAAAACATCTTACTACACTTCCATCTAGTTTCTGACCAATAATCGGCCCTTTATATTCGGTCCCATATATGTGATGTATCGTGAGGAATATGAGAGTCGCAAATCTATAATTTCACTTATGACGTCACTGTGACGTCATTTCAAATGGGATCGACACCAAATTTAGACACAACCTCGGCTAGGTATTCAGGAAGATGTGTGCAAAGTTTCGCTTCTCTATCTCTTCGCGTTGCGACGATATCGTCGCAGAAGTAAAGGGGGGGCAACTTTATGCCCCCCCCCAGCGGCCGGCGGGTGGCGCGGAGGCCCAGCGGCCGCCGGGTTAAGTCAGAAGTAATATGGACTCCGAGAAGTTTCATGGTAGAGACGACAGGTACTGGTTCGTTGTTAATGATTACTGTGCCGTCCATATCCGTGTTGTGAGAGAAGTTGCAGATGAGTATATGACACTTTTTTCCGTTGATCTTCATGAGATTGTTCTCTGACCATGTTTCCAGAGTGGATGCGGCCGTCTGGGCTTTCTGAAGGACAATGTTTGCATCTCTTGCAGGAGACAGGATGCCGATACTGAGGTCGTCCACATACTTCCACCGATGATCTTCGGTAACTGCGCAGTCATTTATATGAGCCAAAAATGCAATCGGGGCGATTTTTGTCCCTTGGGGCGTTCCACACGTGGTAGTGAGCTCTGATGAGACAGGATTCGAGCCACCAAGTCGAACGACCTGTTTCCGCTCGTTGAGGAAGCTGGCTACTGTAGGCACGATGGAGGGACGAACTTGCTGGTCCAGTAGTTTCCTGAGCACGACATCATGGCTAACCAGGTCGAAGGCCTTGGAAAAATCGATCGCCAGGATGGCCGCAGCGTTTGAAGAGCTGTCTGTGTTCTTAGCCAGGAAGTCATATAGCGAGATCAGGTAATGTACCGTAGAGTAGCCTGGCCTGTTTCCGAACTGGTGTGGGTCAAGTGATGGGGTAATGTCAGCCATGATCCAGGTTGTCAAAAATCCTTCAAAGATTTTGGAGAAGAGCGGGGTGAGTGAAATGGGTCTAAGATCGTTGAAAGAGGTTGGAGGGTTGACCTTGGGAATGGGGGTGATGAAGGATAGCTTCCAAGCAGACGGAAATTTTCCGGAGGATAGCGAGGAGTTGAAGATGTGAGTGAGTGGCTGCGATAATTCGAAGGCAAACTCCTTGACCAGCCGTGCTGGTAGCTCATTCGGTGTGGTGGAGATGTTGGGGCGGATGCTGCTCAGTTCCCTCTGGACGTCAGCTCGTCGGATGACCGGTGGGGGTGCGTCCGCCGGTAGGTAGGCAGGGAATTCCCCCAGGTTGAGTGCCGGCAGCTGGGATGAGATAGATGCGAAGTGCTGGTTGACCGCTTCCGCCAGCGCCCCACCAGTCTCATACTCAGCGAAGTTAAGCTGTTCGTTCTTTACTCGGCCGGTCAGACTCTTGATTTGACGGTACCAAGTAGCCGGCTTTGCTGTCCTCATTCCTCGTATTTTCCTGTCGTAGAATTCCGCCTTGGCTTTGCGGCACAGATGAGTGGCCTTATTTCGTAGATGTCGCCACCGGTCGGACATGCCCTCGAGTCGGAAAACTCTGTGCTTCTGGGCAATGGCGTGTCGGACGGTGGCGGTGATGTGAGGCTTCCCTCGATGTCGCACTGGCAATGTTTTGGTAGGCAGAAACCGGTCTAGAGCAGTGGAGAGCGTTGACTGCAGCACCGCCACCTGTTCATCGGGGGAAGACGCCTCATATACGGGGGTCCAGTCATGTGCTGTGATCCACCTGCCGAATGCTCTAACTCCCGAGTCCGGCAGCATTCGCACGGTCGTTCGTTCCCTCGGTGTCGGCTGGATGGTGCGCGGTCGAGCGTGCACGATGACGTGCTTGGAGCGCCCGAGGGGCGACAGCATCACAGGCTCGTGATAATAGTCACCCAGATCGGTCAGGATGAGGTCCAGAACTGAGTCCCCGTGCGTGGGGGCTGTTACAATTTGATGCAAACCATTGAGCCGGCAGAGGGACTCAACTGGAAAGCTGTTGAAATCACCGCAGATGATAAATCGAGGGCAGTCATACAGGGTACGGAGCTCATCAATGGCGAACTGAAGGTGCTCCTCATATTTCACTCGCAGCTCTGCACACGAGCCTGGTGGGAAGTAGACTGTGGCGATGCAGATATTAGATGAACCTGCCGGAAGGTGTTTAGGCCGTAATTGAAGCCATATCACTTCAACGTCTTCCTCAGAGGGTTGGAGGCTATTCAGTAGCTTCACTGGAATAGACTGTCTGACGTAGCAGCCGACGCCACCTCCCCGACGATGCAGTCTGGGTCGCTGAAAGAAGCTGAAGCCGGGGAAATTTGCCTTGTCCTGATCGACCTGCCAGACTTCCGAGATGCAGACAACGTCAGGGGCATACTCCAGTATGTTCGCGTATAGCTCGTCCAATTTATTGTTGAGTGACGTGGGGTTGGTCAGGAAGATGGCTGGTGCTAGCTGTTTCCCTGATCCCAGTACCCTGCGAGTCTCCGCGATGCTGAGTCGGGCTGGGACCGTGATCGTTCGCTGTTGGTATCCTGCATCTCTAATGGCGATGGGACGGGGCCGCCGGTTAGATCCACAAATGGCACGGATTGGCTGATGTGAGCGGCGGACCAAATGTGTCAGGCGCGCTGGGAGACTGCTTCGGATGGTCTGGGCGATTTTGCTATTCGCACCACCCCTCACCCTCTCACGCCCCGCTAGAAGGTAAGCCCGGTCGTACGTGTTGTCAGCTGGCTTTCCACTGATGTTTGAATGACCGATGCTCAGAGTGTGCCGGGGCAGACATCGGTTGGTTTCACCCAGTGAAGGGTGGCGCTCTACACGGCGGGACCCACTGGCCCCAACGCCTTCCTGCCGGCTGCTGTCCGCTGGCAGGCCCGGCCCATCCCGGGGTTCAGCCGTCCGGTCTCGTCCTGCATGGGCGAGTCCGGGGCTGCCTGTTAGGGGGATCAGGACACGGCCGCGGCTCGGGCGCCGCTCGTACTCTATGGCACGTCTGCGGCGAGCCTGGACGTGGCGGCCGTCCCGTCTCCCCCTGCAGTGCCGCCTTACTCCGCCGCTGGGCGGGAGATTAATGGGTCTGTCCATGAGGGTTTCGCCCCTGTCTGAGTGTCCGACGACCGTCGGAATCGACGACGGTGAAACGTGCGGCGCGTGAGGCGGTAGATGACGACCGAGCCGTGTGATTGGCTGGTGGAGCTCTTCTAAAACCGGTAGAATTTTGGTCGAACGAAACGAGGGCTGAAGATAAGGTGATAAATGAGCATGCGCGTTACATTAGACTCAAAACTTCTTACCACAGCCGAGAAGAGACATCACTGCTCAATGCTCATGAATCGCATAGCTCAGAGATAGGTAGGTACTACCGATTTTTAAACGTTGGGATGTCGGGTGTCGTGCCAATGAGTCCCTGGTCTATTCTGCCTGTTCATCCGAGTCGTGGTTAGACGGTGTGCATACTGGATGCTCCATAAACATAGGTTCAAGGGACGTGGGTCATCTCTCCCATGTCGGGCAACTGAGAAAACCACCGCTCCATTATCTGCTTACATAGACTGATCACTGAAACAGCCAGTCAGCGCACAGTGGATGCATCAATCCATTGCCTAACTAATGCAAGCATAATTTTGCTCTGTCATTACCAGGGCTGCGGAGTCGATAGATTTTCGGCGACTCCGACTCCGACTCCGGGCAGAACTGTTGCCTCCACTCCAACCGACTCCAACTCCGCAGACCTGGCAGGGCTGCGGAGTCGACGGATTTTCGGTGACTCCGACTCCGGCTCGGGTTTCCAAAATCGACTCCGACTCCGGTCACAACTATCGACTCCGACCGACTCCGAATCCGACTCCGACTCCACAGCCCTGGTCATTACAACGTCTTTGTGCCCGCGCCTGTGCTTACATATAAGCGAGTATGAGCGAGCATATAAACCTACCACTCTAACATGCATTGCGGTGCAGCGTTATTCAGGCGCAGAACACACAGCGCCATCTATGAACAGATCAAAAGACTAACAGTATCAAGTAAGGACACGAGTGGGCCACAATCCCATCACGCTTTTACCGTCAATGTTCATGTCGCCGCAGAATACACGCACTTGCCAGACGGGAATGTCAATAATGAAAAAACAAACAATTTTAATTTGTTGGTGCATACGCAGCGTTAAGTAACATTAAGGTCCCATTCGAAGCTTGCGAGCGACATAGGATTTGACCCGAAATGTGTTTCTGATTCGTTGAACTATTCATTTACTCAATCTTCAACTCTGGAGGCGAAATAAATCAGATTTGACAATCACAGTTGAATTGAAATCAAACCTAAGAGTTCTGGCAAAGCTGTCAAGAGACAAGCCCATCAAGATCAACTCAGACTCCAATGAATAAAATGTACTATTTTTGTGAGAAGCACAGGCGCGCTACGACCAATAAAACTGCGGAGCAGTGAATGAGAGGCAAGTTTCTCCAACATCTATGACGCTCCCTTCGATGAATATATGCCACATTGTACAACTCACAAGGTATATTCAGCGATATGGCATAGGTGTACTTACACCGTATTCCAGCACAGCACATTGAGCTCGAACAGCCACCGCACAAAATAAAACATCACGAGCAATCTTACACGAGAGCTCCCACACGAGAGCTCCCTGTAATGCGACACAAAATAGCACCTCAACAATCTCGGTTCATTCCACTCAAAACATCTCACAGAAACAGTACTTGGCAAGATAAGTCGTCGCCCGTATTTCCCAGTCCCCACTCCAGATCTCTCGGTCACACACTACACACTACCCGTGACTGTGCTCGTCTTCCGTGGGCCTAATGTTTAATATTTTCACCCAGCGCTCTCCGGTTCGCCTCTCCTCCCCACAGAGGATCAAACAGTTCACGCTCCTTCCGCCAGAGGTCAGTCAGATCACCACGCGTGTTCACAATCATTTTCTTCACAGCGCGAACCACGGACGGATCGTGTGCCACCCTGGCTTCCAGCCACTGGCGCGCGTGCTGTAGGGGGTCCACGTCCGGCGGCACCACGGGTCCGTCGGCCAGACCCAGCCGGAGGGCGTCCTCGGCGCCGACAGGGCGGCAAGAGAGGAGCAGGTCGAGGGCGGCTCGCGGTCCCACGAGGCGGGCCAGCCGCGCGCCGCCGCCCCACCCCGTCAGCAGGCCCATCCTGGCCTGGACGAAACGCAGCTGACCGGCGGCCGACCACACGCGGAAATCCGCGGCCAGGGTGAGCTCCGCGCCGCCGCCGAGCGCGCGGCCCGACACCACGGCCACAGTGACCAGCGGCAGGTCGGACAGACGCGCCAGCGCCGACTGCATGAACGCCGACATGCGTCCGCCGTCGCCCGGCCGGCAGAGGGCGCGAACCGTGTCTAGGTCACCGCCCGAGCAGAAGGTATCACCATCAGCGTGCAGCAACAGACCGCGGCCCCGAGGCCACCGTTCGAGCTCGCCGACTGCCTCCTCCAGCTGACACATCATTGCGCCTGACGGAGGAGAGGGAGCGGGACGGTGAGGGGCGCAGGCACCGAGTAGAGCATCCAGGAATCGGCGGCTGGCCTGGTGAATACTGAACATCAGTACGTTCGCCGATGACGTCTGGGCATTCATTTTCTTTCATTTCGTCCAAAAGGAAAGACGGGGCACAGACGTGCAAATATCCAATACTTATAGAATGAGCTAGCGGGGTTACGAAACATAAAGAGTACGTGAACTTTATCTGTCATACAGATAATACAAAGACAGAGCCAATCTATATAAAAACGTCTATTTGACCACCAAACAATCGAGCTGGCAAACATCTTATAATCATGATTGTTCTCCTGTTCGCCGACTCACCACTAAGGGCGTTCTTCTTTTCGACGTGGTTCAGCCGGAGGGAGGCCAGTCCAGTACCGTCGTCCATGCTGAGCTCCACGGAGCCACCACCGTGACGAGCCAGCAGTTGCCGCACCTCAGACAGGTCCACCTCCGCCCCCTGGCGGCCGCCGCCCGTACTGCAGTGTCTACTCTGCGCCAACAGGTGGCGGGTTGGCAGCCGCAGTCGAGTCACCTTTCGCAGCAGCATCGTCACTGCGGAAAAAGACGACGCAGAGTTAGGGGAATATATGATGATACACATACACACGGAACACAGGGTGGCGGTGGCTGGGAAGTACGCTGGCGATGGACCAGTTGTGACGCTGCTCACCTTTTCGGCGTGAATCCTTTCCTGGCGGGGACGGCGGCGGTGAGGGCGGCCGTCCAGTCACCCGTCTCCCGGAAGCGCAGCAGAATTTCGAACACCTGGTTCACAGTGAGCACACAGGCTCGCGTGCCGGCCTCGTGCTGCAGGTAGGCGGCCGTCGGCAGTCGGGCGGTGCGGACTCCGGCGGCGGCGGCGGCCGCGCGGGTCACTCCGCTCTGCACCGTCTCGTCGACCAATCCTCCGATCACATACACGGCCTGTTCGTCCAGCCGCTTCAGCTCTGTCTCACCGTCCGGTGAGAGGTACACCAGCCGCTCGGCGGCGAACAGCCGGTGCGGCGGCTCGGCGCACCGCTCCAGCTCCAGCCGGTCGAAGCCGTCGACGAGTCGTCGGCAGCGCTGGTGCAGCGGCCCGTCCTCAGCCAGACTGGTGAGGAGCAGGCGCAGCGGGCGCGCCGCCGACCGGTTAGCGCCGTACAGCCGGCCCAGCTGGGTGGCCAGCCGCGACTGCTCCTTCTCCGTCATCCTGTCTCCGTACTGGAGGTCCACACACACGGGCAGGCCGTCCTGGCGCGCGGCGCGCAGCCGGTCCAGCTCGGCGCGCCGCCGGTCCCGTTTGGAGATCATCTGACCGGCGGCAGCGGCGGCGGACTGCGCAGCCGCGTCCCGCTCCCGGCGGCGGCGCTTCTCCTCGGAGCGCCGCGCGCGCCGCGCCGCCACCTGTCGCTCGCGGTAGCGTAGCTTGCGGAGCTGGTTCTTCGAGAGCTGCTGCTCGCCACCGGCAGAGTCAGTCTGAGTAGCCGAGCCCTCAGTCGGACTCCCATCTGCAGAGTCGGCCTTTCCTGAGTCCATATCACACTGAGCTGCATCATTCTGAGCACTGAGTTCACTGGCCTTGCACGCTCCGTTCCCAAACAGATCAGTTTCAGTTGTCGGCACCGCCTCTGTGACCTCTGCTGCCGGTGCCACTTCCTGCCCTGTTTTCTCGGTCGATGTATTTGTTTCGGCGACGGTGCTCAGTGAGGCAGGACTCGCCACAGAGTTTTCCGCCATGGCTGCGTTTTCAGGAGCACCAGACACTTGTCTTGCTGCGCTGAAAAATGTCATGACTATGCTATAGAACGAAACAATGCCTAGCATTACATTTTATACAAACGTGGATTGTACCGAAAGGGTCTCATATGTACCCGAAAGATGACACCATGCTAAATGCATGTTTTTACGATACCTATGGCAATGACAAGCAAACCTAACATCGAGAATACACACAACCAGCAATAAAGTTGCTTTTGAGTTGGAGATAATGTGGTATCGGTAACCCTGGCGTCACCGGTAGCTTTTTCGTTCAAGGCTAAGGTTTCCTGTATCAGGCCGCCGTGCCAGGCCGAAGCATGCTGTGACGTCACTGGAAGAGAAGATAACTTACCACGCTTTCAGATTCAGGTCGACTCAGACCGACTCAAACTAACTCAGACCGACTCAACCGACTCAAATCGATTCCGATCGACTCAAATCGATTCCGATCGACTCAGAGTTCAGACAGACTCAGAACGACTCAGAGAGACTCAGGCAGACTCAAACCGACTCAGGCAGACTCAGACCGATTCAGATCGACTCAAATCGATTCCGATCGACTTAGAAAGACTCAGAACGACTCAAACCGACTCAGGCAGACTCAAACTGACTCGACCGACTCAAACCGATTCAGATCGACTCACACCGACTCAGATAGATTCAGAACGACTCAAACTGACTCAGATCGACTCAACCGACTCAAATCGATTTTGATCGACTCAGACAGACTCAGAACAACTCAGACAGACTCAGGCAGACCCAAACCGACTCAACCGACTCAAACCGATTTAGACAGACCCATCGGTTTGACCTGAATCATCAGACCTGAATCGGTTTGAGGTCGAGTCAGTTTGAGTGTGCCTGAGTCGGCTTGAGTCTGTCTGAGGCTGTCTGAGTCGTTCTGAGTTTGTCTGAGTCGATCGGAATCGATTTGAGTCGGTTGAATCGGTCTGAGACAGTTTGAGTCGTTCTGAGTCTATCTGAGTCGATCTGAATCGGTCTGAGTCTGCCTGAGTCGGTTTGAGTCTGCCTGAGCCGGTTTCAGTCAGCCTGAGTCTGTCTGAGTCGTTCTGAGTCTGTCTGAATCGATCGGAATCGATTTGAGTCGGTTGAGTTAGTCTGAGTCAGTTTGAGTCGTTCTGAGTCTATCTGAGTTGGTCTGAGTCTGCCTGAGTCTGTCTGAGTCGTTCTGAGTCTGTCTGAGTCGATCGGAACGATTTGAGTAGGTTGAGTCGTTCTGGGTCAGTTTGAGTCTATCTGAGTCGGTCTGAGTCAATCTGTATCAGTCAGAGTCGGTTGAGTCAGTCTGAGTTAGTTTGAGTCAGTCTGTATAGATCTGAATCGGTTTGAGTCGGTCAAGTCAGTTTGAGTCTGCCTGAGTCAATCTGAGTCTGCCTGAGTCGTTCTTTACGTTATCTTCTCTTACCCAGTGACGTCACAGCATGCTTCGGCGGGGCCTGGCACGGCGGCCTGATACAGGAAACCTTAGCCTTGAACGAAAAAGCTACCGGTGACGCCAGGGTTACCGATACCGATAATGTCATGTAGGGAATTCATAAATACAAAGGCACTGAGGTGTGAGGAGATGCAGAAAACTTACAATGCACAAAAAACAATAATAATTCCAAATAATTCCAATTTTTTTCCCTACTTAAAATAATTTCATAAAATGATGTTATAAGTTCATTGCTTTTGAAATGCTTAATCTTACCCAGAGAAAAGAGAAGTCGATTATTTCTATCCAGGGCGACCCAAACGAGTTCCTAACGAGCTAGTACCCACACTGATACTAATAATGCTGGATAGTGGATACACACTGATACCAATGATACTGGAGCAGGCCCTAAGCAAAATCCCTATTGACAACAAAAAGTTATAATCACGTTATGATGCAAAAGATATCCGTTAAAAACGCCAAACTCCGAAACACTCACCTCCCGCAGATCTAGTTTTCAATTTATTGTGATAGCGAACTCAATTTATCTTATGGGCAATTTATTTCTTATCAAGGTATATAAAAACACTATGACAGACACTATGTATGACACTATGTATGTTTCTTATAATCGTGTCCGGACAAAATTTCGTCTGACATTTTTTCGTCGGACAGTTTTTCGTCCGCAGATATTCGTCCGACTTTTTTTCGTCTCGCATTTTTTCGTCTGTACATTTTTTCGTCTGTGCATTTTTTCGTCTGTACATTTTTTCGTCTGTACATTTTTTCGTCCGGACATTTTTTCGTTCGTATATTTTTTCGTCTGTACATATTTTCGTCCGGACATTTTTTCGTTCAATAAATTTTACGTCTGTGCACCCAGGTTGAGTGAAAACATAATACAATGCTATTCAACTGTGAGGCAAATGACGTCATAATAATACTCGGGGCGAAGCAGTGCAGTGCCGAAGGCAATGCCTTAGGAGAGATTACAGGCAATGGTAAGTCAAATATTTTTAGGTTAAGTGGTTGTGTATCTGGCTTCAGGCCGAAGGCCTGAAGCCTGATGCACAACCACTTAACCTAAAAATATTTGACTTACCATTGCTTGCAATCTATTCATGCAAGTAACTTTTTCCTTATCCCCCGGTAGGCAAACATCAGTAGGTAAGGTTAGGTAAGGTTAGGTTAGGTTAGGTTAGGTTAGGTTAGGTTAGGTTAGGTTAGGTTATGTAAGGTTAGGTTAGGTTAGGTTAGGTTAGGTTAGGTTAGGTTAAAATTGTAGACGAAAAAATGTCCGGACGAAAAAACGCACGGACGAAAAAATATACGAACGAAAAAATGTCCGGACGAAAAAATGTACAGACGAAAAAATGAACAGACGAAAAAATGCACAGACGAAAAAATGTACAGACGAAAAAATGCGAGACGAAAAAAAGTCGGACGAAAATCTGCGGACGAAAAATTGTCCGACGAAAATCTGCTGGACGAAAAACCGTCATGGAATCCTTATAATCATGACAATGAAGGAATTGAATATTTAAGTTTGCTGAAATTTTCAGTGCATAAAAGCTACATAGATAAAATATAAAATAAAAATATCTTGCTATGATGTCACTGGCTTGCATGCGTGTGACCAATCGTAGGTCTTCATTCGTCTGAAACTTTTTTCCAAGGCCATCTTTAGACTATATATTTTCGTCTGATTTTATTATTATGCCTAAGACTATTCAAATAATCAGCAAAATAATTTTTCTTCATTTAGAATCATACAATACGTCTTCGTTTCTGAAAAAAGAGCTCATTTGCGAAGCACTTGAAATGACGTCAGAGATCCGCAGGCTAATTGTACAAGTGCAGTTTTTCGGTGCCTTGATTGTGTTACAGAAATGGCGCGGGTGCTGGGCCTCGCGGCGCGCCACGCGTGTTGTGTTGTTGTTGGTGTTGTTGTTCGTGGTTGGAGCGGGGCGTCGATGTGGTGTGGTGTTGAATTATACCCTAGGTAATTTTTAATTGTCCATTTCATTCATATATTTTGTAGTGTTAAGTGTACCAACAAACGTGTTCTACACATTGCTTTGTCATTGCTAATTGTTGGTAGCTGTATTGGTCCCTGAGGAGAGGACTGAGGTCTGCGCAGGGGCCTTGTCCCTTGTGCGCAGGGGGGTACGCTCCGGCCTGGTCTGCGTGGGTTGTAGCGTTAACTCTGCGCTCTTCCCTCCGATCGCGCAATTCTGTTTTTATTGCAGAATTTGGTGTCCAAAGTTCAATGTGCGCACATAGCCACGCACAGCTGGTCCACTCACTGACTTTGCCTGGCTACTGCTACCAACCGCAACCATATCTGTCAGACGTCAGTGGGCTCATGAACGTCAAATGCCCGTCATGCTTTGAACACAGCGTGTTATAACTGGGAATGCATGTGGTGTCCAACGCTCTAACGACTTAGCTACGGGACTGGGACATACAAATGGACTTAAATACTTAAGGGTACCTATCTGATTCCATTTTTGTGTCTTATCAAATTGTTTATCATTTCTTTATCATTTTTATTGTTCTTCAGCTTTTAGCAGTCAGGGATGTTTCAGGGAGATAGGTTAATAATTTTTTGAGCCTCTCAAGAGTCAAGAAGGTGATCTTAGCACTCAAGGCCTTGATCTGTGGTGCCAGAGGCAATAAAAAATTTGATGATGTGATGTGAAAGCATTCCATAGGCCTCCATGCAGAGGATTACAATTACCTACTGATTAGTATCTACATGTCTTACAAAAACAAAGTTGAAGGCTATAAGACAGAATGGAATGTCTGAGGAAGGGGATAGATAGTGTAAAAATGATAATTAAATAATATTTTTTTTGTAGATCATCTAATTTCAATATACATATCTAATGCAACAATAAATTACCTACTATCATTTTAGTTTTTTACATTTTTTTGCCAAAAGGGTAAATGTCCATCCATGCCCCCAGCCCCTAATGAATCTCAGTTTTGTTCCTGGCAGGTTCCATGGAGAGTCCACCACCATCACCCGGACTAGAACTAAAGGTGGAGCCGGACTCTGGACCGGAATCAGTGTCAGAGCCGCAGCCAGATGCCGCCCCAGAGTGTGACACAGACCCGGAGCCGGGGCCGGAGCGGCGCTGCGCCGTCTGCGGCTGCCCGCTGCCGGCCGGCGGTCCGCCGCCGCAGGAGCTGTTCGACCTGCGCCTGTCGGGCGGCCGGCCGGCGGCGTCCGCGGTGCTGCCGCTGCGCCGGCTCGATGTCACCAGCCCGTGGCGGCTCTGCGCTCCCTGCACGGCGCTGCTCGAGAGCCGAGAGCGGCTGCGCGCCGCCGCGGCGATCGGTGCCGCACGCGCTGAGCTGGATGACTGGGTGGCGAGGGTGCTCTCCGGGGCCGGAGGTGCAGCCTCCGCCGACAGTGTGGAGCCGGCAGGACAGGGTGTGAGTGGGTGTGACAGAACAGGGGTCTCGGCGGGCTCCTCGAGTGCGCCGACGGTGGTAACAGACTCTGCAGAGGCAGCGAATAGGACAGAGCACCCAGCTACCGCAGCTGACGAGTGTGACAGAACAGTGGCCGGTAAACATGGTGCAGATGCGTCCGAAACGGCGGAGAGCGGAACTCCGTGCGACAGACCGCGTGCTTCGCCTGACGGAACGGCGGGCAGGGCCGCCAGTGCTGGGGACTTGACCGACAGACCACAGGACAGTGCGGATCCACTCGGCCCAGCATCCGACTGCGGCAATCCGTCTGCCAGTACTGGACAGTCGGTAGTGGGCGGCGCGGAACCCTGCGATCAGACGGATGGACCGGAGCAGGGCCCATCCTTAGAGTCCGTCCGAGGAGCGTCTATGGAGGAGGCCTCGCTGGAGCAGCAGCTGGCGGACGTGGAACGCCAGCTGATGGACCGAGTCGCCTCAGCGCCCGGCCCCGCCGGCTCCGATCAGGTTTGTACTCTTTGTAGAGTAAAGTAATATGGATGTGGGTGATTTAGGTGGGCTTCTGTTCCCTGCATGTAATGATGTTCCCTCCTCGCTTTACTTTGGGCAGCTTTTTGTTATTGACCGATTACTGACTGTTTGCGTATTCTGTGCAATGGAAAAGTTGTTTTAGTTTCCATAATCTGTGTCCCTTTTCAGGATCTCGTGACTCTCAACTTCGTCGACACTGACCTGGATGGTAAGTAAAAAGGCACCAATGGCATTGCTCCTCAGTGTCCCAAAATGTGTTACTTTAAGTGGGGAATGACATCCAAATAAAAGTATTTTTTACTCTCGCACCAATTTTTGAGAGCCATTCTCCACTCCGAATTTTACTGAGAGAAAGCATTCGCTCGGACATTCATTTTAGTTCCTACATTTTACCGTCCTTTTACGTGAATTTATGCCATTGATCCCTTTTTCCCTCTTTGTGGGGCTTATCGAACTGGTGATTTTCCACTCTGTTCACCTTTTTTATTAGGAATTTCCCCTCTCCCCTCTGACAAACTGAAATACAATTTTGGGACACTGTTGCTCCTTGCTATGTGAGATAGACTGGATATTACACTGAATGATGTCGTTTTACATAAGTTCTCATTTGCATTGCTCATTAACGATAATCACTCATCCCTTGAGATAACGAGGAGTCCCTGTCTGTTTTCTTCCATCACTTCAGATAAAATGGTTTCGTCAAGGCTTGTGTGACCTTTCTACTCATCTAGAATGCTCTTCCATGCCGACTTCGGAATTTGTAAAATACATTTGCCATCAGCTCCAAGAGCCTGACCCTCACTCCCAGCTTGCTGTCACTATTTGATCTGTAAAATGATCGAAAACGGCACGAGAATGCCTTGAACGTCTTAGACACAAGTTAGGGGCTCGCTTCCCATCCCTCCCTGACCTCCTCTCGCTCTGCCAGCCGCGGTAGCGGCTCAAGCCTGGGTCAGTACATTCAGCGACTCTCAAACCTCTGCAGCGGCTGGGGCAGGTAGCGCCGCTAGCTTTAAGCGAAACCGTACATACCTTCAGTTAACCCGTCCAACTCTCAATCGAATGTGATGGAAGCATGCCGAAATCTCCATCATCTCACTAAGGGGCCCCCGGCCCTGATTTTACTCTTCTGGCCTTCTTCCACACTATCCTGGATCTGACTTTTAAACATATTGTGGTGCTTTGGTCCATTATGACAAGAGCTCTCGAATGCCGATTGGTCCAACTTTCTAGCACCGCTATGAAAACACTTCGGGTGTGGTTTAAAGTGGCCTCGCCGACTTCATCACATAACAGCACTAAATACTGAAGGAATACCCACATCATGCGAGGATAAAAAGCAACTGTGATGAGTCAGTGACTCAGTATTGACTTTTAGGCCCGGAGGGACCATTTAATGGCCTGTGAAACGATACCCCTCCTCAGGAATGCCAGTTTGCAATGCACCGTCGACTATACGTTGCTTAAATACCCATGATGAAATTTGAAGGAACGCATGCATGTGCCCTGTAAGAGTGCGCTTTATAATTAGCTTTATCGCATTTTCTTCTTCGGTCAATTGGCGCAGGCTCGTACTCCTTGATCCAAGTTGAGGGGGGCGTGACTGAGGACCCGTACAGGGTAGTTGTTCCTCAGCTTTCCATAAGTTTGTCACAACTTAAACTCATGCCCTGCGGAGAGGGTTTGAGCACTTTCCCTTTGCGGCTCTCCACAATTATCTACATAGAAAACTAACATACCTATGAGACGTTTGCTTTGCCCATACTATACTGTGAACATTTCAGGCCCAGGTTTTTCAAGGCCAGGTCAGTAGGTCACGCTAAGTGACCTCGCCTCAGAAAAAAGTTGTAACCTCGTCTTCGCTACAGCAACTGAATGATATTTTTTGAAAATTTCAGCTGTTAATGTGAAGTGTTTATTATTGGTTGATTGCTTGTATTGTTTTGCATTATTGGTTTATCGATGTTGTTTTGCGTCGACATTTTTGTATATTTTTATGGTTTAGATTTTCATTAGTTCATATTCTGACTATACCTGCTTGTGGCTGTATGTCACTTCCTTACAACCAACGCTCGTTGCGTTTACTGTATCTCCGCTGCGCGGTCAGCTCGTCGAGCCGGGCCGCCTCGACCCGCGGCCGGCCAGTCGACACACCATGCATTATTTATGACTGGTCGCGCTGGTCACTTGGCGGCGCACTATCTATCTACACACATCTGCGTTTAGCCTGCCTTCTGTCACATGCGCCCTAGGACCCTATCCCCGAAACTCACTCACTATTCTTTTAAATGTCGTCTAATGCTTTAGTCGTGTATGGTCGTGTCTAATGCTGCGTAGCTGGATGCACCTACCACCACGGTACCAGCTCGTGATGCCGCGCGCTCATTTGACGCGTGACATCTAGAATCTACCAGAACCTTCCATGTGGTGTGATGTGGTGTCAACCAATCTCGAGTGTCCACCGCACATAAAAAAGCTTTTGACCAATTGTACCAATAGCAGCCACGAAGGGTATCAGGCCACTGTCCTACAGTAGGAACTGGATTAAAGACTAGTTCCGCTCGAATCGCCCCAACTGAGGGCACCGGCAGAAGACCTCGGGCCGTCGCCGACGCCAGACGTGACGATCCATCGACGTGACTATCCATCGGCCTTGAGGAGACCACCGGCCTCGGCTGCTGCCCACTTCGCTCAGTACTCAGTGATGTTCTGAAATACAACTGCACCAGCGAAAAAAAGAAGAAAAAATTATGATTAAAAGCTGGTAATAGCTGGCCGCGCACCAGCCCTGGGCACGAGAATTACGGCGCTGCTACAAAAAGGAACCCAGCTATCTTTGGACGATAACTTCTGATAGAGATGCTAAACCTATGAAAATAGTTACCTTGCGCGTGTTTAGCTGGGCGATACGGATCAATTGATATATAACATGATCATTTCCGGTCACCTGGGTATTAAGTCAAATTTTCAAGTTGACCTTTTAGGTCAAATGATAATTCATTCGACGCATCGCCATGAGAGGAGCACGGTGCTGGTAAAATAAATATGCGAGCTTTGATTCAATGCCTAGTACACTCGGGGGCAGATTGATGTTCCACCACTCCCTACGCATCGGGCTCCCATGGCTCAGCACTGGCTGCTGCCAGTGACAGAACTGGCAGCACTGGCACTGGCAGGCAGTGCTGAGCAGTGCTGAGGGCAGGCAACACTGGCAGCAGCCAGTGCGGGAGCCATGGGAGCCCGATGGGTAGGGAGTGGTGGAACATCAATCTGCCCCCGAGTGTACCTAACTACAGAAAAATGTTTTGCCCTAAACCTTTAATTTTGGCTGTTTTGCCTTCTAGAGGGTTAAATGTTGACTTAAACTGAGAACAATACTGAGGGAACGGCATCACAAATCTATGAAATGTGTTTTTCTGTGGTGCTGTAGCTCCATTCGTTCTGAGTTATGCGCTGGTTTGTCGGAAATCGTCGAAATAGGTGAAATTGGACTTTTGATGACCTCTGATATAATCTTTGACGCCCTTCATAAAATTGGGCTCGGTGACGTCTTTGATCTGACCTAGAAAATTGCCAATTGAATTATATGATTTTGACGCTTTTGAACGCGGCCTACCACGCGTCGCTACGTGGCTTACGAGCCGAGTTAGCAGTGGGACACATCCCCCCGCCCCAGCAGGCAGCAGGGCGTGTAAATCCAGGACCCCCAGCGTTGCGCACTGCGCATGTTAATTTTACACTCTCTCTCACAAAGTACCTCTACCATAGATTAACGGAAAACAAAAGAGTTTTCTGCCGTTGCGCTATCGATGATAAAAGTGCCAGCGTTTGGCTGGGATCGGCAAAAATGTGCGAACCTTTTGGCTATGGTCGGAAGTTGGAGATCTTTTTCTTGCATTTTTATCTTCATCGATGCTGTGTTTAAAGCTGGCATCGTGTTTTATTGACAAGACACATTCCGTGAATTTCATAGCATCGAATCTTCTGCTTGTTGCAGGTCTTTCAGCAGTCTGAGGTAAGTTGCGAATGTCATTAGTTGCGAAAGTTGCGCATCACCTTCTATCTAGTCGGTTCTCTCTTTTGACACATTTTTTTACTAGCATGACGTTATGGGTGCAAAATAACCTTAGTAGTCGGCGCGCCATAAACCCCCAATAAAGAAACAAACAAACAAGGCAGCATCCGGCCTTCAAGTCCACCGTGGACCGCTATTAGCGGCACCGTCTGCAGCTGAAGCCGCCGAAACTGCACAGACTGTCCGGATTGACAGCAAAGCGACAGCGACACAGCCGCAGAATGGGTGCATCTCACCGACCCTCTCCTCAACTGTCTGTCCACAACTGGGAGCGGCTGCTTTTCTCGGAAAAGTCTTCGTTTGAACCATACCTACTGCCCGTCGAACTGCCAAAACGACCGCGTCTGAGCTAGAAACAGATCCGTGATTGTCACCGACACTGAATAGCAGCCAACCAAGGTGATGGTCTTGGAAAAAATGAGTTTTCGTGGCCGCTCAGACTTTAAACTGTGTCCTGTGACGAAACTTTTGAGTCTGACTTCTACCTAAAGAAAGTGCTAAAGAAACATCAGTGATGAGACCATAGGCGGCGGAACGGGGGGGGCACCGGGGCACCGTGCCCCCCCTTGAATTCTGCAAGGGGGGCACCAATAGCAAGGTGCCCCCCCTTAAATTTGATGTATTAGTACCAGGGGCGGATTCGGGAAAACTCCAAGGGGAGGGTCATGAATCGAAGTGGTGCCCCTACCTATGCCCAAATTAAAACCTCAACGGATTTCGGCCACTTAATTTAGGTGGTGCCCTATTTTCAGTTTTTTTTTATTTTCTTTCTTTTTGGTTAGTCATGTGATGACTGGTGCCCCTGCTAGGCCGCTGGTGCCCCTGGAAAGACTGTGGTACCTACCTACCCTGCCCCCTGACAAGCCTACGGTGTGCCCTGACATGACTTAGGTGCCCATGGGCCCTGACAGGCCCGTGGTGCCCCTGACAGGCCTGTGGTGTCCTTGCTAGGCCTGTGGTGTCCCTGGGCCTTGGCAGGTTTGTGGTGCCCCTGTTAGAACGCAGGTGCCCTTGACAGGTTTGTGGTGCCTCTGACAATCCTAAATTGCCAAAGACAGGCTTGTGGTGCCCTTGACAGGCCCATGGTGCCCTTGCGAGGCCGGTGGTTCCCCTGCGAAGCCGATAAAGCCCCTGGCAGACCTCTGGTGCCCCTGGCAGGTCTGTGGTGCCCCTGGAAGACCTGTAGTGCTTTTGCTAGGCCGATGGTGCTCCTGACAGGCCTGTGGTTCTCCTGGCAGGCATGTGGTGACACCAGGCCCTAACTAAGTCATGACCCATGTGACCTCCACCCTGGGATTCGCCACTGATTAGTACTGCGATGGCTTCTTGGTAATTTGATACATGTAGGATAAATGGAATTTATCAAACGACAATAAGGAAGAGACAAACACATAGGTACTTGAGGATCAGCTTAAAGTTAACCACACATACGGGCAGGGGTGTAATTTTCCTAAAATGATTGTGGGTGCCCAGCTGTAGGGGCGCCCGGCGCCAGGCCGTTTTGGGGCGCGATAGATATTCTTTATGTGGGAGCCTAAATTAACACCGAATTTGATAACATTGCTAGCCGAATGGCGCTTCAAGTGACGTGTCTGACTAAGCAAATACACGCTTAATAGTGGAAACTGACCGGAAGGACGTAAAAAGCTGTAGGGGGGCGCCATCCAGTAGGAGGGGCACCAAATGTGGAGGCGCCAGACGGTTACGACTTACGAGGGCGCCGTGAGACGATGAAAAGGGCGCCATTCTCTTAGGAGGGCGCCGAGTGATTGAAAACGCTATGTGGTCCAGGGGCGCTAAGAGGCCAGAAGGGCGCCGCACAGTCAGTAGTGCTACGTTGGTGGGGACGTGGGGGCGCCAGATGGTTACGAGGGCGCCTTGAGATCATGAAAAGGGCGCCATTCTCGTAAAAGGGTGCCGAGTGATTGAAAACGCTATATGTGGTTCAGGGGCGCTGAAAGGCCAGAAGGGCGCCGAACAGTCGAGGGATGCACGGTGAACAGAGACCCAAGGACGCGAGACGGTCAGGAGGGCGCCGTTAGACCATGAGAATGGCGCGGTGCTGTCAAAAGTGCGCCATTCTCCCAGAAGGGCGCCGAGTGATTAAAAACGCTATATTATCTTATCAATGAACGCGAGACGGTCAGGAGGACGCCGTTAGAGCATGCGAAGGGCACCGTGCTCTCGAAATGGCGCTTGCAGCCTTGTAAAAGAGTTGTGGGTGCATTTTCATCATTGTTTGGGCATGGGCATACATAATTAAGGATTGTGGGTGCATATGCCCCCACAAACAGATATAAAATTACACCCCTGCATACGGGGGTGAACTGCCATTTTCGTTTAGTAAAAAAAAATAAAAAAATCATCGTGTCAGGGCTGTGACGAGAAATAAGTGGCCTAAATCCGATGAGAAAACAGGATTTGGGGGTACCCTAGGTTTGGCTCCTTGAGCCATGGTGCCCCCCCTTGTCTCAAATCGTTCCGCCGCCTATGGATGAGACAGTTTATTAGACGGGCCTCTAAAAGTCGTTAAACTTTTGCCGGACAGAAACAACAGTTTTATATAGCAGGACGCAGTCACAGCTCACGTCGCCGCCAAGACCCAGGTGGAACTGTTGGGCCTCCTCACTGCTTTTGTGGCGTGATTTGATAGTACTGACTTATGATTCATCTCAGGTATCAAACGGTCCTTTGTTAAAAAAGAGCATCTTCAATTTTTATCGCGACGACGCAGCTTGCATGATTAAGTAGCAACTACTGGTTCAGCTGAAGGAAATGCAAGGTTACATATGTCTATTAATTCAATGCAGATAGGTATAGCAGAAAAAACGATGAGGCGCCATAGCAATCTCGATTCTCTTTCCCCAATAAGTCGCGGGTAAGTCAGCATACCAGTCGTTTTATCGTCTTTATCAATCATTCGATTGCCATTTGTCTGTATACATTTTGTAGTCGTTTTCTACTAATTACGAGCAAGCGAATAGAGAGAAGTCTTTCGTAGAAGAGCAGAAATTAGAGTTGGGGTGCTACTGCACGTGCGCATGTGCAAGGGACGATTACAGATCTGGAGAACGGCTGAGTCCATTGCGCTCAAAATGGGTACGCCAGTAGGAACCGGTTGCCAGGCAGTAGTCAGTTGGTATACAGTTTGCACGGACGGACGTCTTTCAGATCTAAAAAAAAATGGCTGGACCGATTGTGCTCAAATTTCGCACACTGCCAGAGACCGGTTGGTAGGGTACCGCGCACAAGTCAGTTGGAATCACCCGTACGCACTTTTGCATGTACAAGGCTCACCCTCTCGCTCGTCTATCGGTCGATCGTCCAATCGGACCAGGATTACGCGTGGATTTCGATATGCTGCTTTTCGATGTTTTGCGTTTCCGTTATTTTGTTTTCCATAGTTTACTTTTCAATTTTGCATTTCGATATTTTGCATTCCGATATTTTGTCCGGAACTCGTATGCGACGCATGGCTATCTCCTCCGTAGAGATGAACATCCCACGTTAACCCAGTGTGTCTTAACTCTTAACCCTCGCCGGCACGGGGGTTGATGCAACCCCCCTAAGGTTTTTCGCGAATAACTCGCGTAAAAAGCGGCCGATGGCGACGAAACTTTCAGTACCCTCGCATTGATCAATTTTACACCTACCCTGAAAATTTCATGACCCTGACCCAAATGACCTTTGACCTGTGACCTCTTTTCCGAGACCATTTTTTTGCCGGAATCGCGATTTGGCGTACATATGTCGGCTCGCATTAGCCGCGCGTTTGCAAGCTTTTCGTGGTTTCAAACGTTCAAACATGTGATTTGATGTTGGTCTTATACATTAGGGTGGGTGTCAAGGTCACCTGAAGGTCAGGTCAGGTCATTGACCTTTGGTAACCTCGGGTGACCTCGGTTCACTTTTTGGAGTTTTACATGTTGCTAGGCTAGTTTTTGGAGCTGAATTCGAATTTAGCAACCATTTGAACATTTACGAAGTAGTTTTGGTGCCTTCGTAACATGTTACGAAGCTGTCAGAGGCGGTTGACACGTATTACGAATACCCGTCACAACCCCTACCGGTTGACCTGACCTGACCTGACCCGACCTGGTCCAAATGCTTAAAGACATCATCTCTGATCAAAACTAACACGATATTCGTGATCAGCACCCCGGAAAACCACATAGCAGCCACACTTTACGACTTTCTAACAGGTCCCGATTTTCCCGGTTTTCGGGTCATTGACCTGACCTAGAACCTTAAAATGACCTAAAAATTGGGTATCATCGGCTTCCTCTCGTGACGGGAAACACGCTCGTTTTTTTCCGCGAAGCTCTAGCTCGATCAGGGGCCAAACGCGAGGGGGGGTCGTACCCCCCCTTGTGCCGTCGAAGGACGCAAAATGGCCTGTGCCGGCGGGGGTTAACCCGCGCCCCAGTGGCGGTCTCAGCCAACTTCGCCCTAGTGGGGGGGGGGGGGGCATATGTTACCACCCACTTCTAACTCAAAAACTAAGAGGGCTAGAAAGACGCGGTAAAAAGCAGTCGATAGCTCTTAATGCGTACCGGTACGTTTGAAAGTATTTCGGTCATTTTTCATCTTATAGCAATATTGGGGTCACTGGAGGTCATCAAAGGTCAAAATTTGCCAAATGTCATTATATTTTTCAGAAAACATGCATTTATCTCAGGAACTATGATAGCTAGAAAAACGTATGGAAAAGCAATCGATAGCTATTGAACTCTTCTTTCGATAAGGTCATGATCAAAATTGACCTCAGGTCAACGGTTTAGCCTCCAGAGGGCAAAAACTAAGAAATAGCTGTTTTTACGACAAGTGTTTTTCGACAGTAACTTTTGACTAAAAAAGCCACGACATTTCTATAGCCAGAATCGTGTTCCACTCGCCGAGACGCGTCGAATGAACTATAATTTGACCTTGAAAGGTAAACTTGAAAATTTGACCTCAGGTCAAGGTCATGACCTGACCGGAAAGGTCATGTTGCATATCAGTCGATGCGTCTCGGCAAGACAAACACAATGAGACCATCCCCAGCGTTCTATCTCTTTCCAATCGAGAGTTATTGGCAAAAATCTGTTTGTTGCCTCAAATGACCTCGGATGACCTTCCTAGAGGCTATTAGCAAAAAAAAAGACACCATGGTCGACACGGGTGGTCCAAATCATTGTGATTCTGAAATATTTGGACTGTTCCTATGCGTACACACGGATCTAGAGGCATTTTCATTTTTCTCCATTGACTTATAATGGTAAGGTCACGCCACTGGCCTGACCTTAGGTCACGGATATAAAAAATCCGAAATATACAAATTATAGGCGCTCATAACATCATGCAATCCACCAAGTTCAAAACCTTTCTGACAAACACAGCAGGCTGGACAAGATTGCAAACTTTTTTAGGCTTGGTCAGTTAACTTGACCTGGTGACCTGACCTGACATGACCTGGGGTCAAAAATTTCACACATTGTCCAAAATTGCCGCGGTTTTTTATTCACACGCAAAAAACGCGACAGGGTGGTAACATATAAACTGGGGCGAAGGTTCAAGAGTCGATCACATTCTCTTATCCTGTCCATATCTCGAGCTGAATCGGACACGCTACGTCGGCCGCATTGCTCCGGGTTCAACCATTCGCCACCCGCTGGGTCTCGAGTCACCCTGAGTGTTATCTGGCAACATCTTTTCCTATCCCTTGGGTACAATTCCAATTGGTTTACTCGACTTGCCCCTAATCCGTCAGTAATCCACATCAGACCTCCCTAGTGATTACGTCTTGTCATTGGTCTGCTATGACACATTAGCATTATTTTTATTTCATCCTTCTCTTATTTTCATCCAGTCTTACCCTTTTCTTGTTCTCCTATCTAGCCAGTTTTCTTTTGCAACACACTTGTTCAACAAGCAGGCATAACAAGACGAGCGCAAAATGACCTTTTTAGTCGGCGCACACAACAGCCACATTAAAAAACAACCCTCTCGCTTGCTCGTTTGTCGCCCCAAAAGCCGTACTACTGGGTGGCTTCTCTCGCGTAAAAATGTGTGGTTGCGAGCTTGTAACACCTGCGTTTCCTTTCAGGGGACATCTTGTCCACTGGTCGGAAAGGAAGTTCTGTTCTGTGTAACCTGTGTGGCGAGAAGTTCTCTGGTGCGGAGGAGCTGCGACCACACTTGGAGAGCCACAAAGAAGGCCGACAGAAGTGTCCTGTGTGTCACATCTGGATCCGAAAGACAGCCTTCCCAGATCACTTAGCACTTCACTCCGATGACAGGCCGTTCAAGTGTGACATGTGCTCGTTTTCTTCTAAAATTCAACGAAAACTCCGAGTTCACCGACAGAGCCATTCCAAAAGACGAGAGAAGCACGCGTGTCCGCTGTGCCCCAAACAGCTGATCAGCAAGCATGGTCTCAAGCTGCACCTCCTCCGACATTCAGGAAGTGGCGCTAAACACCAGTGTCCTCACTGTCCCAAAAGGTTTCTGTATCCATCATTCTTGAAGTCTCACATCTCAGTTTCTCACGAGGGGAAGAAGCCCAAGAAGCGGTTCTTCTGTGACATTTGTCAACAGGGATTTGTTGGCAAGGCTCTCCTTGAGCTGCATATCTCGCGGCATAGCAACGAGCGCAAGTTTAAATGCAAACTCTGCGATAAGGCATTCAAGTGCAAGTATTCTTTGGCATCCCATGAGAAACATGTTCATAGCAAAGAGCCGAAGAAGTTTGAATGTGAAATCTGTGGACATGGGTTCTCTGCTCCAGGCGCTTTAAATGACCACAAGGAGATACATAAACCTGATTCTGAAAGAATCCGGTATCAGTGTGAAATCTGTAACAAGCTGCTATCTAGTCAGCACGCCCTATCCACACACAAGAAGCGACATGGAAAAGAAAAGTCCTACAAGTGCAACGAATGCAGTAAAACATTTTACACAGGTGGTGAACTTCGCAAGCACATGGTTGTGCATTCGGAGGTTCATCCATTCAAGTGTGCGTTATGTGAGAAGTCTTTCAAATCTGTTTTGTGTTTGAATGTCCATATGAGGCGCCATGGCACTGAAAAGGGCTTCAAGTGCTCAAAGTGCCCTGCAGCATTTAAAACCAGTAGCGACCTGGCTGGTCATATGATGTTTCACAACACTGAGAAGAGGTTTGCATGCGAGCAGTGTGATGCCAAGTTTGTGACTTCCAAACTTTTGAAACAGCACACATTGACACACTCCGATGTTCGTGATTTCGCCTGCCAGTTCTGTTCATTTAAAGCAAAAACAAAATATATTTTAAAGGGCCACGAAAGAACGCATTTAGCTAGAGAGCATAGAGCTGTTTTCTCTTGCACTCTTTGTGAAAATACTTTTCTTCAAAAGGTCACTCTAGAGAAGCATGTGAAGGAAACGCACTCGTCAAATGAAACCCCAAAGCTCAGGTTAGAGTGTGGAAAGTGTCACAAAATTTTTCATCGGAAAGGTTCATTCGCATGTCATCAGCGGAGATGTGGTGCAGAGCGAAAGTTTGCCTGCGAAGAATGTATGGCGACCTTCACGAACAAATATCATTTAAATCGTCACATTGAGACTCACTCAAACTCAAGGCAGTTCGCATGCCAGCACTGTTCGGCTTCTTACAAGGCCAGGGACAGCCTCGTCGTGCACATCAGGAGCCGTCACTAAACAGTGCGGAGTGACTCGACAGCTGGACGACGATGGGCGGTACTCGAGCTCACTCTGAATCGCTGCTTGTCCCAGGGAGAGCGGATATGGTTGTATAGTGGCGACTCCAATCTCCAAATCTCATTGGTTGTATAGTGCAAGCGTGTTTGTCTATGCCATGTAACATGTTATTTCCTGGACTCACGTATTGTCGATCAACATGTGAGTGCGTACGTGTGGTGCTGTGCTCTCCCGAGCTCTGAGGGCGGTGGTGAGCTGGCGGCTGTTGTAGGCCAGCTGCTAATGTAAATAGGTAGAGTTACAGCTCCGTGTTGAATCTAGCGACCCCTGCTGCTGATTGTGTGTGCTCCGTAACGTGTCAGGTGGAGCGAACTGGCCGCGACTACATAGTGTTAGAACTGGACTGACCTATCAGAGCTTTCAGTGAACACGGGAGATGATTGTCAGGCGACCTTTCAGTGTCCATGATACTATAGTTTTGTCTTATCCAGTGTCAACGCTATTGTAGATGTGATAATTTTTCTTTTGTGCCAGTGTTTTGTACGATGAATAAATACCACATTTAAGCGTGCTTGTAAATCAGTTTCAACATCAACCTATTTCAAAACCCAAGCTGAAAACAAGTAGGTGTTGCAATTTGCATAATATGGACACATTTCTATTCCACGGCATTCGAAATTATTTAAAACTGAAATTGAGAATCGGCTCAGTAGTTTCTTCTTGTATTATCCAATCTTAGTAAGGGCACGCAATTTCCTAAATATGGATTTTACGTCATTCTCATTTTTCTTTTTTTTTACATGTGTGATAGACTACACCAGTATAACGCCTTTTGGGGCGACTAACTGAGCGAGCGAGCGAGAGGGTGGGCCTTGCATGTGCGGAATTGCCAGGGGTACCTCCAACTCACTTGTGCACTGCACCCTACTAACCGGTCCCTAGCGATGTGCCAAATTTGAGCGCAATCGGCCTAGCCGTTCTCGAGATCTGGAAGCGGCACCCTGCACGTGCGCTCGTGCAAAATGGGTCCCAACTGACTTTTGCATGGCACCCTACTAACCGGTCCCTAACCATGTACCAGATTTCAGCATAATCGGTTCAGCGGTTCTCGAGATCTGGAATCGACTCCTGCACGTGCGCACGTGCAGCAGCACCCCAACTGTGGTTACGGAGCGAGCGAAGCGAGCGGAGTCTTTCCTTAGATTAACGGAAATTTCTGAGTATGAGCGGCCGGCCGTGGTCACGCTTTTGCGAGGCTTATATCTCAGCAACCACTTGACCGATTTACACGCGGTAATTTTTGTAGGGTAGCTTCATTCCTTCTACCAAGTATTGGACTATTCCCGATGCATGTGGGTGACCCCTTATGCACGTGCCACGTGCAAAACGAAGAGGTGTCAATTTTGTAATTGTTGCAATATCTCGGTAACTACTTGGCCGATTGCGCTGAAAGTTGGCATGTAGGTAGGCACCCACTAGGCACTGCATATACATGTGCCAGAGTTGGGGTGCTGCTGCACGTGCGCACGTGCAGGGGTCGTTTCCAGATCTCGGGAACGGCTCGACCGATTGCGCTCAAATTTGGTACACGGTTAGGGACCGGTTAGTAGGGTGCCGTGCACAAGTCAGTTGGGACCCATCTTGCACGTGCGCACGTGCAGGGTGCCGCTTCCAGATCTCGAGAACGGCTGGGCCGATTGTGCCCAAATTTGGCACATCGCTAGAGACCAGTTAGTAGGGTGCCGTGCACAAGTCAGTTGGAGGTACCCCTCGCAATTTCGCACGTGCAAGGCCCACCCTCTCGCTCGCTCCGTTAGTCGCCCCAAAAGGCGTTATACTGGTACATGTATTTGCATTGTCTAGTGGGTGCCTACCTTCATGTCAACTTTTAGCGCAATCGTCCCAGTACCAGTAGTTACCGAGATATTACAATTATTACAAAACTGACACCTCTTCGTTTTGCACGTGGCACGTGCATAAGGAGTCACCCACATGCATTGAATCCCCCATCCCTGCGTTTCTGTACGTTCAACGCTCTCCCTTCTCAGCGATATGGTACGATCGGATCACCGCCAAAGACCGGGTAGGTAACCGGTGTAGGGCTTTTTCATGACTTTTTATACTGACTAGAACAAGAATGTTCTGAGACTTTTGTCTACAATAATCAGCTACATATGTGTCTCATGGGACGGCATAGCTAGACAGCTATGGTTAAGTGTAGGGGAGAGTGGGGCTGGGGCACATTCGTGCAAAAAATGGATAAATCCATATATCTGTTCTTGGTTAGTTCAACGGCAAAATTTTTGATTGTAGTATGAAAAGGAACTATTGCAGATATTTTTCGTCCCTAAAAGTTATCCTCTAAAATTATTGCTTCTATTAGAAAAAATGACTTTTAATATCTCTGCACGTTTGCACGAAACTGCCCCACCTATGGGGCACTTTCGTGAATGGGATGGGGCAATTCCGTGCACCCTGCAAAGTTGAGCAATTACCGGGCATTACCAGAAATTTACCAAAAGAAATTGGCAGGGGGTCATTTCACTTGATTCCTTTCGACAAGAATGCATTGCACAACATGTGTAGAAAGAATGGGCTGGCCAACAAGAGATGTGCCAACTGCCGACCTCCGTGACCTCGCCAAGGTCGTGTGAATTACTTGTCACGAAGTCGCAAGCAGCCGAGGCTGAGTCAGGCGAGCGTCATTAGTGAAACCTACTACAGATAAATACAGAGTGATAGATCGCAAAAAGTAAAAAAAAAATGCACGAATGTGCCCCTAAGCAGTGCGTACACGAACCTGCCCCACAACGCTATTTGTATAACTTCTATTTTTATATAACTATTTCAAAATTTCTTTTCGAAAAAAATGACACTTCTTCAACAAACAAGTTTGCAGCAGTTCCGTGAATAGAGTGAGCTTCTTCGCCCCCAATTTTTAAAAGCTGAACCACATTTCCGAGTCAGGATCACGAAAATGGATGTTATGATAAAAGTTTGGAAAGCTCACGAATATTACAAATTTGCGTTTTTATCAAGCATGACAGCAGGTACAGTGTTGTCTTCTACAGTGAACGAAGGGCGGCAATGATAGACATATTTCCATAATTGACCTTGAGCTCGTGCAGTCACTCGTGTTCCCATAAACTGCTGAAAACGAATGTGCCCCATGTACGAATGTGCCCCACTCTCCCCTAGATTTAACGGTTTGCAGGGCTGGGCCTGCCAGCCTACTCGGTTCATCCCGCATCCGGTCCGTGTTGTAAACTTTTACCCAGCGACGGTCTGCTAGTCGCTAAACACCATCCCGATACGCGCAAATAGCGAACGCCCATGAAACGCTACGACTTTTTTGGTCGGTGGTATAACACTTTTGCCATAGGGCCGACGTAGTGCCTATTATTTTATGTGGTTGCAAATAACATTACGTGTTCCCGACAAATTGCACTAGGTAGTTGGTGTGGCGGCTCATTTCGGCTCTGATCGTAGCTGCCGGACCGGGCCGACTCGTGATCCCGGCCGGCGCCGCTCCGCGCCGCCGCCGCCCCATCCCCCTGCCACGCCGCCGGCAGATGGGCCGTCCGCGAGAGAGTTTATGGCAGTGATCGGGTGACGGGACGCTCCTCTCTCCCTGCGACCGTGTCCTACAGCTGCACCTGTATGAAGGGATGTGCTGTTACTGGAGGAACTGTCGCCATCTGTGTCCTCCCGACCCAGAACATAAACGGGGCGGGAGCAACCCTCGCTATCACTTCTTGACTTTTCGGCGCCGAGAAGCACCGCCTCACTCTCTCTGGCCAACTCTTCTTGTCAGTGATACTGTGTTGTAATAAAACTATTCTATTTGTGTGGGATTGCGGGTTTTCTGAAGCGGTCAGTTTTTGCAGCGAGCTTTTCCTGTTAGGGCCTGCGAGATACCCCCGCACCAACATATCTCTTAACCCGCGCCCTGATGGGGGGGGGCCATTTTGGCCCCCCCTGTGGTTTTTCTTAAATAGCGAAAAAACGGCGGCGCGCAGCGCCGCCAAATTTTGGGTACCTTACCGGACATCAATATGACACCTTCACACAAAATTTCAAGTCACAGGTCACCTCAGGTCAGGAGTTATTGAGGTCAAACTGAGGTCATGTTCGAGTAAAAATGAGCAAAAAACATGACATCTTGAAACGCTCACCAATTCTACAGTTAACAAGCAATTTTAAAGTTCTTTATTTGGTTGTGTAGAGAAAAGACGGCGCTACAAAACTGCTATCTCGGATTTTCGAAATTTTTGGATTTTGACCCCCAAAAATAAAAAAAAATGATTTTTTTAGAAAAACTTAAAAAATTTTCAAAAAATTTTCGAATTTCGAAAAAACCGGAATATATGTGATAGTCCCTGCGCTCTTCGATATACATACCAAATTTTAGATCGATACCTCTTTTTTTTTGGCCAAGTTATAGCGAAAAAACTGTTAAAAATTGATGACGTCAAATTTTTGAACTCAATTTTTAGCAATTCTAGACCTCGTAGCGCAAAACGGAGACCACCACTGAACTCCCCGTGACGAGCTGCATCGAATCGATACCCATTTTATGCAAAAATATCAACTTTGAAATTTGACCTAAGTTGACCTGACCTTGACCTGACCTTGACCTGACCTTGACCAAAACGTGACCTAAGCTGGCTCTAAAGTCTGTCTGACCCATATAATCGCATTTGTCATGTAAAATGGACCATAAAACATGTATCACACGACACTTTCATATTGTGACCCCCCAGTGACCTGACCTCTGTGACCTGACCTGGTATCAGTGACCTCAAATAGCAAAATATGTGTTTGAAGAACATTTCCCCATCGATGATTTTCAATGAAATGCATTTTACACGATTTTACAACGCATTTCTTGAAATGCCTGTAAACGGTGAAAATTCGACCTTTGACCTGACCTGTGACGTCATCGGTTTGACCGAGGTCAATGAAATTGGGTCACAAGGTAGTTCCCCGTTGGGGCTATCCAACACCGTTTACCGCTTGTCGCTATGTTGCGTGGTTCTCGAGATCTGAGGGGGGGGGGCCAAAATGGCCCCCCCCCCCATCAGACCGCGTTGCTCGGCAGACCCCATCTGGGCGCGGGTTAAGCATTGGCCTCAGACACAGAAATGCGGCTGATTTATCATCGCCTATTCGCCATCTGCAATACTCACCAGTTCGGAAGAATTATGTGTTTGTGAATGGTGAAGAGTGGAGTGCAGTGGCGGATAAGAGCACGGGGAGAGTGGCACAGTCTTCGAACAATCTTCTATTTCACGGTGACCGGGTTTACTTATCATTCCTATCTGAATCCCTATTTTCCTAATACCTCTTGCTCTCTGAATAGAGGGTTCCTTTGCCTCTCTGTAAAGAGGGCTCTATATTTAGGTCTTAACATGCTGTCTGTAAAGAGGGTTCCTTTGTCTCTCTGAATAGAGTGCTCTTACCTCATGTAGGCTCCCGACATGCCTTCTGAATAGAAGGTTTCTTTGTCTCTCTGAAAAGAGGGCTCTGCATACCCTTTAGGTCTTAACATGCTCTCTGTAAAGAGGGTTCCTTTGTCGCTGTGAATAGAGTGCTATTAAACCTTGATCCAAAATTATATCCATTCATATAGCATCCATTTCCTATGTTATAAATTCCCAATTTCACCTCATTACCATATCAACCTATATCCTGTCAGGCCCCGGTCGCCACACCAAATGATGCGAGACGTCAACACACACACAGTTATACAGTCCACTGAGTCAAATTGAAGAACGTCTGCAGCATTACGGTTTTCTGAACACGTTTTTCTGTGTACAGGGTGTCCGGAAATTATTTGCCCCTTGTTCATTCAGCTAAATCCCACCATACGCTTTAAGAACTGTTGAAAATTTGCCAAGACCGTGCCTCAGGCTATCCAAAGCCGTCCGTTAGCCAGATGGCCTAACCCGGTCACCTGACCTTAATACTTGCGAGGCGCCAGAGGCCAGTGTTTGCCAGGCGTAACTCGCACATGAACGTGGTGTCTACTATGACGAAAGAAACAAAGCGTTATCGCAGTGAAGTTATGGCGAGGACCGGAATGAAGGAGGAAGTCAAATTGAATCCTCTGTCCTGATCTCAATCGAAAACCTATGGGAAATCATGAAGGAGGAGCTCAGCAAGATTGAACCAGCTCCCACAAAAACTGGGAAATTCGGCAGCAAATATAGGTATTTGCTCTCCAATTTGACGCGGCTCATACAATAACAAGTGTCTCTGATTAGCTTATTCGTAAATCAAGTGAAACTTCACATGCGTGACAGGCGTTCAAAATGCAAATGACGTCATCAAATGGCCGTTAATAGTTAAGAGATAGGGCCTTAGCTAAGGCCCACTTTTCAAATGAAGGGAACGAATTTCTTTAACACCACGAAACTGAGGATATTGCGACCAGGATATATAGTGGTTTCTGAACCTGGCCGCCAACTTGGCTATCTCAACTCAGAACTAATGCAAAGGTGGGACAGTCCCTTAAATAACGCATGTTATTAGCTGGCGGCTGAGATTAGATATGGATGGAGAGACTTGAAGAGTGCTCTGAAGAGGATTCTATTTGAGCTAGAACGATCCATAGATATGGTTTTGTCTCAGTCGCAAACCCCTGTGTACATCAAAAAGCTGAAATTCTTTCTTGCCTGGCCCATCCACAATTATTTGATCCTTCATATTAGAGGGCCCAGCCCAGCCCTTAGCCAAGCTCGATCCCTGGCGAACACGGCTTGTAACACTCGCGTTTCCTTTCAGGGGACATCTTGTCCACTCGTCGGAAAGGAAATTCGGTTCTGTGTAACCTGTGTGGCGAGAAGTTCTCTGGTGCGGAGGAGCTGCGACCACACTTGGAGAGCCACAAAGAAGGCCGACAGAAGTGTCCTGTGTGTCATATCTGGATCCGAAAGACAGCCTACCCAGATCACATAGCACTTCACTCCGATGACGCGCCGTTCAAGTGTGACATGTGCTCGTTTTCTTCTAAAATTCAACGAAAACTCCGAGTTCACCGACAGAGCCATTCCAAAAGACGAGAGAAGCACGCGTGTCCGCTGTGCCCCAAACAGCTGATCAGCAAGCATGGTCTCAAGCTGCACCTCCTCCGACATTCAGGAAGTGGCGCTAAACATCAGTGTCCTCACTGTCCCAAAAAGTTTCTGTTCCCATCATTCTTGAAGTCTCACATCTCAGTTTCTCACGAGGGGAAGAAGCCCAAGAAGCGGTTCGTCTGTGACATTTGTCAACAGGGATTTGTTTGCAAGTCTAGCCTTGAGCTGCATAAATCCCGGCATGGTAACGAACGCAAGTTTAAATGCAAACTCTGCGATAAAGCATTCAAGTGCAAGTATTATTTGGCATCCCATGACAAACGTATTCATAGAGCAGAGCCGAAGAAGTTTGAATGTGAAATATGTGGACATGGGTTCTCTGGTCAAGGTGCTTTAAATGACCACAAGGAGATACATAAACCTGATTCTGAAAGAATCCGGCACCAATGTGAAGTATGCAACAAAATGTTTGCTACTCGCCGTACTCTGAACACGCACAAAAAGCGCCATGGATCAGAAAAGTCTTACAAGTGTTGTGAATGCAGTAAAACATTTTACACGCAGGGTGAACTTCACAAGCACATGGTAGTGCATTCGGAGGTTCATCCATTCAAGTGTGCGTTATGTGGGAAGTCTTTCAAATCTGTTTTGTGTTTGAATAACCATATGAAGCGCCATGGCACTGAAAAGGGCTTCAAGTGCTCAAAGTGTCCCGCAGCATTCAAAACTAGCAGCGACCTGGCTGGTCATATGGTGTTTCACAAAAATGAGAAGAGGTTTGCGTGCGAGCAGTGTGGTGCCAAGTTTGTGACTTCCAAACTTTTGAAACAGCACACAGTAACACACTCCGAAGCTCGTGATTTCGCCTGCCAGTTCTGCTCATTCAAAGCAAAAACAAAGTTTATCTTGAAAAGCCATGAAAAAACGCATTTGGCTAGAGAGCACAGAGCTATTTTCTCCTGCACTCGTTGTGAAAATACTTTTCTTCAAAAGGGCACTCTAGAGAAGCATGTGAAGGAAACTCACTCGTCAAATGAAACCCCAAAACTCAGGTTAGAGTGTGAAAAGTGCCACAAAGTTTTTCATCTGAAAGGGTCATTTGCATGTCATCAACGAAGATGTGGTGCAGAGCGAAAGTTTGCCTGTAAAGAATGTAAAGCGACCTTCATTTCTAAGGATCATTTAAATCGCCACATTGCCACTCACTCGAACTCGAGACAGTTCGCATGCCAGCACTGTTCGGCTTCTTACAAGGCCAGGGACAGCCTCGTCGTGCACATCAGGAGCCGTCACTAAACAGTGCGGAGTGACTCGACAGCTGGACGACGATGGGCGGTACTCGAGCTCACTCTGAATCGCTGATTGTCCGAGGGAGAGCAGATATGGTTGTATAGTGGTGACGCCAGTCTTCAAATGTCATTGGTTGTATAGTGCAAGCGTGTTTGTGTATGCCATGTATCATGCTATTTCCTGGACTCACGTATTGTCGATCAACATGTGAGTGCGTACGTGTGGTGCTGTGCTCTCCCGAGCTCTGATGGCGGTGGTGAGCTGGCGGCTGTTGTAGGCCAGCTGATAATGTAAATAGAGTTACAGCTCCGTGTTGAATCTAGCGACCCCTGCTGCTGATTGTGTGTGCTCCGTAACGTGTCAGGTGGAGGGCACCGATCGCGACTACATAGTGTTAGAACTGGACTGACCTATCAGAGCTTTCAGTGAACACGGGAGACGATTGTCAGGCGACCTTTCAGTGTCCATGACACTACAGTGTTATCTTGTTCAGTATCAGTGTCAGTGAAATTATGATCTTTTTTATGTTGTGCAAGTGTTTTGTTCGATGAATAAATACCTCATTTTCAGCGGGTTTGTTATTCAAGTTAACCGTTTGAAAACGAGCTGAAGACAGTCAGGTGTTCCACAATATTGACACATTTCCATTTCACGGCATTCAAAACTTTTGAACACTGAAATCAAGAATCGACTAAGTAGTTCTTAAATTTAAGCTAAGTAGGCTCACGTTATTTCCATATTCCTACATACGGATATTTGTCTCCCCTTTTATTAATACGATGACCCGCATCACAGCCTTGTAGCATTCTCGATACCGTGAATGCCATAATTCACGTTGGTAGCAAAACGATGAGACTGAAACATACTTAAGTACTGAAATACTTTGGGAGAAAATGTCTAAATATTAATGGAAGCACTGTGCATGTGACGCTTTTTTAACCCGCGCCCGGCTGGGGGTCCTGGATTTCCACGCCCTGCTGGGGGGGGGGGTGTTTGAACACCCCCCCCCCTTGTAACTCGGCTCCTGGGCCACGTAGCGATACGCGGAAGGCGGCGTTCGAAAGAGCGTCAAAAATAATGACGAAATCACTTCGGTCAATTTCTTGGTCAGGTCAAAGGTCAGGTCACCAGAGGTCATTGAAGGCAAAATTTCGCCGATTTCCAGGTCGACTGTCGAAAATTTCCAAGAAGCCAACGCATAACTCGGGAACCAATAGAGCTACAGCGCCGCGGAAAAGCGCATTCGATAGCCCTATTAACGCCCTTTCTGAGTAATCCTCTCGATTTGACCTAACGTCAACGGTTTTGCCTGCAGGGGGCAAAAACTGCAAAAAACCGATTTTTTTCGAAAACAGTTTTTCTGCAATAACTTTTGACCCAAGCCTTTTACGAGCTTACTTTCACCGGCATCGTGTTCCTCTCGTCAAGACGCATCGAATGAACTATAACTTGACCTTGAACGGTCAACTTGAAAAATTTGACCTCAGGTCAAGGTCTTGACCTGACCGGAAACGGTCATGTTGCATATCAGTCGATCCGTATCGTCGAGCTGAACACATCTAAGGCGTTTTCAGCGCTCTAGCATGCCTCTATCAAAAGCTATTTGCGAAAAACTGTTAGATACCATTCGTGACCTAAGATGACCTCAGTGCATAAACAAGGGTCACGGACACCATTTTCATCTTCAGTGTGTCTAAACCACTTGTTATTCGGTGTTTGGGAGTGTTTATAATGTCTTTCATCCAAAAGAGGCGCATTTCAATTTTCTCCCATTGACTTATAATGGGGAGGTCGCAAAATTGACCTGACCTTAGGTCATCGATATCAAAATTCTGAGAGATACATTTTGTACATGCTCTTGCTCTTAGCAATCGCTGAAAGTTTCAAAGCGATCGGTCACTCGGTGTAGCTATGACAGACATTGAAAGTTTTTATGAGGTGAGGTCACTTTAAGTGACCTGGTGACCTGACCTTGAATGACCTTGGTCTGAAATTTTCACAACATGTGTAGAATTGATGTATGATAAGGTGTACCAAAAACGGCGGCGCTCCGCGCCCGCGAAAACCACAAGGGGCTGTGTTCAAACAGCCCCCCCCAGCAGGGCGCGGTTAACGTATTCACCCCCCCCCCCCCCCTGCGTTTTACTACCCGGCACAAGACACGAATTAAAGGAAATATTTCACTTTTAACATGGGGGTTTGAAGTGGAATAGCAGTTTTGTGGCTTGAGCTGAGACTAGCACAAATAAGGAGCTTTTACGGCCCAACGATCACCCTAGACGAAGATATTCCATTTCTCGTTCCGTGAATAGTGCCTTGTAGAGGAATGCGTGCCTTGCTGAGGAATGCAGCTACGTCATCCTCAGCCAATCAGCATGCTGCTTACAGCCAATGCAGGATGCGTAGGTTTGAACCACGCAGTATTATTGGTCAACGCTTAATAAGCTTCCGCGTCAAACATCATTTCTATAGAATATAGTTCTTCCTTTATCAAGATACAGAAAATGTGTTTTGTTATAAAAAGGTTTTATTTTATTTTCTGATAATTTAGAGCATAAAATCATATATCCATTGCAAAAAGAAAAACTTATTTCAGAAAAGTGAACTATTCCCTTTGAAAGGGGTATATACCTAAGCGTTTCCCCCTCACCGATAGGATACAATCGGATCACTGCCAGAGAGCGGGTATCTGGTATTCCGGGGAAAAGGCCATATAAATACGTTCCGGAAAGCTATAAAATCACTGTGCGACGGATGTCCGTCAAGACAGCCCATATTCAGCCCAGATTCAGCCCGGATTCAGCCCAGATTCGGGACACCTCCGATCAAGCTGAAACTCGCACACAATGTAGGCCATGACATGCCCAATCCACAGTCCAAGTCATTCGGTGGCACTCCCAGCCGTTTGACCTACAGAGGTCAGCTAAGGTCACGTGGCCCAAATTTGCACAGCAGATTGTGGCCCACCCAGTAGAGCTAGAGCGCTAAAATGGCACCAATCGACTCGCCAGCATCTAATCTTACTTTCCCATCACTCATTTGACCTCTCAAGGTCATGCGATGACCTAAGGTCATTTGTGGGCTATGTCGAAAATACACTTGCACAGCAGTTTTCGAGTAGAGGAATTGACCGAATTCCAAATCAAAGCACATCATCGGGTAGCCCATAGGCCGTAGTAACTTTTCTTAAAAACCGCTTTTCGATATGTGACCCCGTTTGACCTCGGCAGGTCAAAATGCACAAAAAAAACGACACTCCATCATACATCGCAGCCCGGATTCAGCCCAGATTCTGGACATCTCCGATCAAGCTGAAAATCGCACACAATGTAGGTGCTGACATGCCCAATCCACAGTCCGAGTCATTCGGTGGCACTCCCAGCCGTTTGACCTACAGAGGTCAGCAAAGGTCACGTGGCCCAAATTTGCACAGCAGATTGTGGCCCACCCAGTAGAGCTAGAGCGCAAAAATGGCACCAATCGACTCGCCAGCATCTAATCTTACTTTCCCAACACTCATTTGACCTCTCAAGGTCATGCGATGACTTAACCCTCGCCGGCCGAGGGGGGGGGGGGCGGGTGCCGCCCCCCCCCATAGGGTTTTTTCGCGATAGCTCCGAACACGCTGGCGATAGAGAGCTGAAACTTGGCATACCTGACCTTTGATCCAAGCCGGATCTTTTGACACCAACCGCATTTTTGGGTCAGGTCAGGTCACTGACCTATGACGTCATAAGTGAACCTCTGCACGGTCTTCAGATGTCGCAACTTCGCAACGCCCTCACTGCCAGAGGAGATGTCACAGGGAAATGAAACTTGCAGGATCTAGTATCCATTATGAGTCCCACAACTTGTATATCTCGGATTTTTCCTAAAGGTCATATGAGGTCAGGTCATTTTCGTGACCTCACCATTATAAGTCAATGGGGAAAAATGAAAACTGCTATTCTGGCACCGGGAACGATCTCCAACTATCTCAAGCACACAGAATCGTGATTTGATGCACTCCTTGCAAGGTTAGATGCGTCACTTTTGCGATGTTGACCTTGCGTGACGTCATTTATGACGTCATCAAGGTCATATTAGTTTTTCGTCAATAACTCTTGATCAAATTGAGCTAGCGAGTCGGGAAAGCCACCAATGGACTCAGGAAGACCTGCCGAATCGAATGATATGCGACATGACCTCTTTTGACCAACTTCGTGACCTGGGGGTGCTGACCTGACCTTGACTTGAGGTCAACACCCCAAGTTGACCTGACCCGGACAAAAAGTATATCATTCGACGCGCCTGAGCGAGACAAACACGATGCTGCCAAAATCGGCGCTCTGCGGCCGTTTTTTGCGAAGTTATTCACCAAAAACTGAACCGTACCTTGGGGCACTTGACCTGACCTCAGAGGTCACCGGTTGACCTAGGACCTTAAAATCGGGTACCAATCTCTGCGTCTCGTAACGGCGCACACGCTCGTTTTTTCCGCGACGCGCTAGCTCCACCAGGGGCGAAACGGCGAGGGGGGGGTCGTACCCGCCCCCCCCCCCCTCGGCCGGCGCGTATGTAGAAAACCAATAGGTCCGGCGAGGGTTAAGGTCATTTGTGGGCTATGTCGAAAATACACTTGCACAGCAGTTTCGAGTAGAGGAATTGACCGAATTCCAAATCAAAGCACATCATCGGGTAGCACATCATCGGGTAGTCTTGATCAACATGTGCGACGGCATATGGCAAAATAAATACCTCCCTAAGGCATATGTATGTATACGGCCTTGCCCAAGGCGGGACCAAGGGCCGGACGGTTGCTTTTAAGTCCTCGGTTAGCCTGACAATTTTTTGCTTTCGCTCTTCGGGCTCTTGCAAAAAAAATTGGCAGGCTGACCTCGGACTTGAAAAACTGTATACCTACCGGCCCCGAGAGGTATTCTATTATGCCCCAAGGTCCTATATATCCCGTATTACCCCGTATCTGGGGTGCATTGTAACAGCTGAACTGATTTTTTATCGCAATTTCGATCCGAAAAAGTTGCTTTTTCGGAAATGTTTCAACTGCATTTAAAAGACAAAACATCAGCTCAGTTCAGTTCAGTTTATTTTATTCCTCCAAAACATACAAAGAAACAACAAAATAGTGCATAGGCGCAAAAGCAAAGCTTAAATTAAAGCGCCCTTCCAACAGAGAAGAAACAACATGCAATTAAGATTGCAGATAAATGATTACATAGAGTAAGCATAAAACATAACAAAACATAGCACATAAAAGGTCAGACACGTCCGCCCGCCATCCGCCCGCCGAGCAACCCATCACAGAATGCTTAGCTGGGCGACGAACGGCCCCGGCCAGGTCAGCGCTGTGTGAGTTGAACGCAAGGTTTATTATTGTGCTGAGATGACGAGATCCTGTTTTTGAAAATAAAAGGAAGAACAGGATAGCTGCAAACGTATTTGTATCAAATGATAAAATACAAAAATAAAATTGTTATAATCAACCCCAGTCTCCCCTATATGGCTATTTACTGATTCGTTACTGATTCTTGTCATAGTACAAGTCATTTGATCCTTTACATTTAAGACC